AGAGAGAGAGAGAGAGAGAGAGAGAGAGAGAGAGAGAGATGAAGGCCTAAATACATGTTATTACATTATTATTGACATTTTATACATTATTTGAAGGCATAAAATACATTATGAGTGAATGAGAGAAAGAAAAAGAACAAACAGTGCGAATCCATTACAAGGAAAAATATCAGTTTACAGTAACTAATGAATTATTTATCAACAACGTTGATTAAGATCTAATCAAACGCTAGTATAGAATTATGCGAGGTTGAGAGAAAAAAAAAATAGTTCGTTGTTCACATTATAATAAAATTAATGTGTATCTTGAGGTGGCTATCAATGATCTCCAGTGTATTCAACGAAAAGCAATAGACTGAGAATCGATATATTATAGTGGTTGCCACGCTCATTTCCATCAGACGTTGGCCAAAATGAACTTTATTATTGTTGAGAAAGGACACTACTCGTGCTACTACATATTATAAGCTTAATTAATTTCCCGCCCCTCTCTTGATACATTTGCTGGTTGCAACTACATTGTACTGCTGCCTGCAACTGCTGCTACTACAACCACCTACTACTACTACATCTGCTGCTGCTGCTGCTACCGCTCCTCCTCCTCCTACTACTACTACTATTACTGACTTCTGTTGCTATTGCTAGCGCTGGTGGTGCTGCTGCTACTATATATAGCCTACTTACATACTACATGTACCACCACTTCTTCTACTGTTAACTGATTATCTTACTACATTCGCCTTTTGGCGTTACAATGCTGCTGAGACCGCATTTAATGTTTTCATTGTTTTTGCCGTCCTGCTGCTTTTATAAAACTCTTATGCAGAGGTTAGCTGATTTTGAATATATTTTTAAAAAATGCTGCCTCTTGTGCTTTATTGCTTTCGCTGTTTACTGCGACATCTCTAGTTGTGATAATTCAGGATGTTGTGTCACTCTACTAGTAGGAGTGCTATTGGCAGAGGTCATAAGCCAATCACATATAATCACCCGAATCTGATATCTCAGGTGAAGGTTTAAGCGTCCAACATCAATGTGAGCAAAACATTGAACTATCGACATTTAACATGAACAAGAACCTCGAAGTTTCTGCTTAAAAACTGGAAGCAGCACCTGCATGTAGTGTCATATATCATTATTTTAGTATGCATCTAACAAACAAACACACATTCGGTGTCGATACCAACCTAATTTGGGCAAAGGTTCTGGCAAGGCAAATCGTAGTTCTCCAACCGGTGGTTTTGCGTATGGAATCCCCCGAAAGGCAAAATACGGCTGGCCTTTCTGATCATTCTCCAGAAGACCCTGGAATCTGCCGGCAGGGGCGGACACGGTGGGGGCGGTGGCTTGACATTCCCATACAAGAGAGATTGTAATTGTAAGCAAAACTACGACGATGAACTCAAGATGAGCACGTCCAGCCATTTTGAAGAGAAATGTAGGGCCTACAAATGGATTATAGCTTCCACAGGTGGTGCTAGGTCTAATCAATAATTAGTGTAACTGTAGACTTCAAACAGACACACATTCACGTACACACTAAGACTAGAGCAGGCAAACGAATGGGACCGTGACCGTATATAATTATAGCTGACCACGAACGTCCACTTCAGAATAACCTAGCGCACAGACAGCACGATAACAGATAACACACGGCGGACCTTAGTGCAGTAGTTGAATGGGGTTACGTTTACTCTGGCTTGTGGTTTTGACCGTTTTGGTCGAAACGTTGACCCTGAGCCTTAAGGTCAACATTTGGGGGACTTTGTTATTTCATATTCCGATATTGTCGACTTGACCTTGAACGAATGGACTGTGTAGATATATCGCAGGAATGCTGAGTCACGTGTTTGTCCAGGCAGTTGATATGAATTGAAAGGCGACTGCTTGATCTACCATACCGTCCTCTCTTCTGAAGAAAATGCGGGATTTGAGAACATGCACTGCATCTGTTCATTCGATTGATAAACAGCCCCTCTCCCCACACAAAAAATCCCCTACTCCCCCAAAAAACAAAACAAAAACAAACAACAACCAACAAACAAACAAAGAAACAAAAAGCCCATCAGTGAATCAATAATTGTCCCAGAAGCTGTTTACTGTTTTCTATTTGAGGGGCACAAGGGAATAACCAGCGATGTTACTCTTTCTTCTCCCCTTTGTGGGTTATTGTCCAAGCATGATGCCTGGCCGGGTCTGCTTTAGTCCTCTAAATCACATACGAAAAAACCAGCGCTGCCAGTCCCTGAAAATATAACCCACAATGGAAGAACCAGCGATGTCAGGATGTCAACAATGAAAAAAACAGAGATGTCAAGAATACTTTGTTGTTGTTGTGTCCCTTGTGACCCATCAGTGACCATATTATTTCAGGGAAAAATTGGGAAATGGTAGAGGTTTCACGCCCCTGTCAACATTATTAGGATATTTAAGAGGCGGGATCTTTTAGTGTCCAACCCCAAAAGGACAGAGCCATATAGGAAAATCATGTAAAGTGCCTTTCCCAAGGACACAAACAGATAGAGCTAAATACAACCTAAGGCCTGCTTAGAACTTCATGAATAATAACAATTTCTGAAAAGCATATTAAAAAAATATTCTCAGCAGTATCTAGTAGTGGTTTCATTGTTTATTGTCATGGCTAAAAGTAATACAAGGACAAAATATCCTCTTAAAACATTCAAACACATGAAGCAAAATAATGAAGAACAAAACCCAGAATTCTTTTATGAATTATTCTTTTTTTTAATTTTCAAGCATTTGCAATTTTATATTTGGAAAGAAATAGACCTAATGTATTATAGCACATCTGCATATTTGGAAGTAAAATAATTAATTAACAAATATCAATAACAAGGATATAATAACAAAAACAAGGATACAGTCCAGGACATCCCCTTCCCATGAAGAAAAAAAAAAAATTAAAAATCCACAGGGACAATTCTAGTGGCAAAAAACACCAAATTAAACCTTACACACGATTTTAATTCTTTTGATAAAGGTGCTTTCATGAAAAGAAATGAATCAATGAATGTAAATGAGCATTTGATCTAATGGCTTCCATCCTCATTTTGGACCAAAAATTGGAAAATAAGTTGTAGAATGCATAGACTGATGGACAAAATCACGTGTAAGTCACCAATAACTTAATATAACTTGAGTACATACTAGTATCTGATCTCTGAAGTTCAGTTACTTTGTCAATTGCTAATGACCAATAAAGGAATGAAAATATTATTTGTTTATTTTTCAGAAATTAAAGCATAGGAAAGAACAGTTTATGTGACCTACCTTTCTCACCTCACCACAAAACTCCTCAAGGCTTGGTAACAGTATCATTAAACCAATTGCCTTGGTCCATACAGAAGAAGAAAAACAAATAATTAAAAGGTACATTCCCTGTTATCTAAGAAAGTCACAAATTCAGTATTAGAATTCAAAGCAAATGATAGCTTTGTATTGTACTTCAAACAAAAAATTACTATTTCTAGTTTATAATAATCACATGAACTGAAGTTCCTGATTGCTAAAGGTCAATTTAAAAGGATAAAACTCATTGTATTCAATTTTTATTCAGACAAAAACTGAAAAAAAATGTACTATGAAAACACAAACTTCATATTTCAAGGGAAATTTGGCAGCTTCTTTGTTGGAGTTGGAGGGAAAAAAGGCTAATTTTGAGAAATTACGACTGAAGGAAAAGTGAAGGAACCACGACTGAAAGCGCAAATAAATAAGTTGCTGCCAAGACTCAGTTGCAGAAATTGACTTTCGTCAATCTACAAAATATCTATACTGGCATTCTACTTTGGTTCTTCACTGTATTCTCACTGCTTCCATTATATCATATTATGATCACAGCACTAACAGACTCCCACACTAGCATTCAACCTATAATCTTGACGGTATCTGTGCTCCCGGTGGTGGCCACATTGAGCACTTGTAAAACAAGAAATAAAAACTTGAAGGTATATACACAACACATGTGATCAAGCTAGAGTTTTCTTTTTTTTTTCTTCATTTTTTAAAATATAGCGCGATGATTTTGGCATACTCTTTTTTAATCACCCTGTTCATCTACAGGTGAATGACCTGCTTCAGGGGACGGACAAGAGGAGGACGAAACTTTATCTTAAAATCTTAAACACTTGAAGGTGAGAGACACTGAAAAAAGTTTAGGAAGCACTGATCTAGACGACTCTTTTGAAAGTAAGTCCCAATGACAGTACTCTGTACAAAATAATTATTATTCAGTTTGCAAACAAGAGAATGAAAAACAAGAAATGCAAAAAAATATTTGAAAAGTTTCAATCTGATTTGATTTACATAAGGCAGATGACAATCATTCCTAAAAAATGCAACACTTCAAAAGTATGTCATACAGATTTCAAACTAATTAAGTGTTGGATAATTTCATCTCAAGAAAAACTCATCTTTTTCCCTCCGACTGCCTCGCAAAAAACAATATTTCCTTTTTCAGTTTATTTAATGAAACGAGAATGTGATCAGTACAAAGCACTTGAGCATCTGACAATAGTGTACATTGATTTTTTTTTTAATGATAAAAAAAAACCCAACAAAAAATAAATAGCATTTGTAAAGCACATATTTCAACTCAAAAGCAAGCCCAACGCACTTTATAATCCAGATTATCACCTTTGATTATGCTTCTCGGGAAGCATACAGTGCAAGCAGCTGACTAAGTGCTCAAACACTAACAACCTGCCAAGATCTTTCGCTGTCTACAGTTGGGCACTCACTCCCACCTGGGTGAAGTGAGGAAAATTAACGAAAAGCGTCTTTCCCAACAACTCATTATCAGGTGAGCCCACAATCTTTGGGTTGCAAGCTCAACCGCCTTACCACTAGCCCACCAATGCCACTTTAAAGCAATGTTAGAGGATCAAGGCAAATGAGCGCAATGACAGTTACCCTTCCTTATCTTGTTATACAAATGTATGTAATTGCAGAAGTTTCCCCCCCCCCCCCCCCATCAACAATCATTTACAAGGCAGGCTACTTTGATCTTGTCTGTCAGGGCAAACCAGGGATGAGAGAGAAAGTACACCTCAGCAGAAACATGGATAATAAAATATACTTAATAAAAATTTTCCCTTCGATGGGGATCAAATACAAACCTTTTCTGTACGACAGATGCTGATCCTTATCCTGTAATTGATATTGTACATGGTACATAGCATTAAAAAACCCACCAAAAAAACCAACTGACATTAAAAAAGCATAAATGCACATAATGGATGGCTAGAATACAATATAATTGGTATCAACAACATTTATGTAAAAAGTTATCACAATTAACAAGTCCTGAAAACATAAACCATGCCAAGGCAGCGCAGCCACACATTGTCAGAGTAAATTGAAAAGTGGGAAGACATAATACAAAGTAGGGAAAATACCATTAACAAGTATATGGCTTGGAATGAACTGAGTAAAAAGTAATAGGGAAAAGAGAGAGATGAGAAAGGGCAGAGCGCAGGTCTTATTGGGTGCTCCAACAACATTAAAACAGGAGGTCGAGGCAAAGAGAAGATGAAAGCAGATAAAAAAGCAGTTAACCATACATGTAAGTACTTAAAACAAGATGCTAGTGTCACTGAAACCCCTCTCAGTCGGTTATGAAGTTCACAAACACAGTGGGAAACAAACCCTCCTCAGCCGACAACTTTATTCGAAAACTAAGTGCTTTATTCCAGGAAGGACATATTTTGTGTATACATGTCGTAGGGAAAAACACAGGGAGGTTCTAGGATTCCATCGAAGAAAGCTCTAATTTTTCAAATTATTTTTTTAAAAACCTCCTCTGCTTAGAGCTTTATTGGGAAACTTAATGCAATACTCCTGGAAGAACATATTTTGGGGGCTCTCGTGGCCTAGAGGTTAAGGTGTTGGCCTCTCATTCAAAGGTCCCGGGTTCGATTCCGGGTAGCGACCAAACAATTTTCTTCTCTAAAATTGTCTCCTTTCACCTCCTTTCCTGCTCTCTAGCAATGTTCTGTTGTCTGTTTTCATTTCCACTTTCTGCCCCCATCCCCTCACCTCCTTTGCCCCCTCCTCTGGGCTCCTGACTCTTTCTGCAGCCTTTCTACTGCTACTCCTTGCCCCCCCCCCCCCCTTACCGCTGTCTTTCAGCCACACCCCTGATCTTCTGGTAGGAAAGATCTACACCTAGCCTTCTCGGACAAGGGCGAAAAATCTCGGAGGGCCCGTGTGCAATTTGCGCATGTTAAAGATCCCTTGGTGGTCTAATATCGATAAGAGTAGGCTTCTGCCGCCACCCGGGCAAAATTCAAAATTTCCTACCAACTGAAAATATTAGGTGTGTCCCGCGCGCTCATATGACCTATGCAGTTGCGAGCGCCGTAAAACACTTTACAAAAACAAAAAACAAACAAGAACATATTTTGAGTATACCAGGGCAAAACTTAGAAAATAAAGCTCAGTCTCACTCAGGATGACAAAAATCTGACATTAAGGTTTAGTTGTAGCCAATAGACTAATCATATAACTATCAGTGCTATACTATAATAATTGATATATAGCGAACACGTTTTATTCAGGTACATTCAAATCAAACATATCCATTGGTACTGAATCAATTTATGTCAGCCCGGGACAGAAAAAGGACTAATAGATCAAAAACAAGTGAAACTTGTCATCATGAGAAATGTTCAAGCAATATGACCCTCATAAGCAGCGAATAGAAACAGTGCCCGAGAGAGAGAGAGAGAGTGGAATATTTATCTCTGAACAGTTGACTAAAAAATAGCACCACCATATGTCAAGTGCACCTCAAATTCTATTTAATTTCATGTCAAAAACAAACAACTACAAGCATGAGGATATTAAAACCCAAAAATTAATATACAGCAGAATTACTGAAATGAATAATACAGGCAACAATACTTTTAACAATCATTTTTATTTAACAAATAATTACAACACACAGGCAAGTAAAAATTATCTTTGATTTTCTGTAATGCTCCCATGATAGTAATGATAAATTAAGCCATATGAAGGGCCATAATCTCCAATGAAAAATAAAATAAAACAAGCAACTCCTTCTTTTCCAACAAAAGTAAACACACATGCACAGTATTCCAAGGGGGGCTCTTGAGGCCAAGAGGTTAAGGTGTTGGCCTCTCATTCAAAGGTCCCGGGTTCGAATCCGGGTAGCAACCAAACAATTTTCTTCTCTAAAATTGTCTCCTTTCACCTCCTTTCCTGCTCTCTAGCAATGTTCTGTTGTCTGCTTTCATTTCCACTTTCTGCCCCCACCCCCTCACCTCCTTTGCCCCCTCCTCTGGGCTCCTGACTCTTTCTGCAGCCTTTCTACTGCTACTCCTTGGCTCCTCCTTACTGCTGTCTTTCTGCCACACCCCTGATCTTCTGGTAGGAAAGATCTACACCTAGCCTTCTCGGACAAGGGTGAAAAATCTCGGAGGGCCCGTGTGCAAGTTGCCCACGTTAAAGATCCCTTGGTTGTCTAAAATCGATAAGAGTAGGCTTCGGCCGGCACCCGGGCAAAAATTCAAAATTTCCTACCAACTGAAAATATTAGGTGTGTCCCGCGCGCTCATATGACCTTATGCAGTTGCGAGCGCCGTAAAACACTTTATAAAAAAAAAAAACAGTATTCAAGTGGAGCATTTCAGGAGTTTTAGCAGCACTCCCAAACAGCAGTGTGTAATTTCAGTGGGGTCCAGTACAAATACGGAGAATAAAACCCATGCATTGTCTTCTAGATGGCGTTGATGAGAGAAGGGAAAAAAACCCTGGAGATGACTTGTATCACTGAAAGACACTGCACAGGATTCTCTATTGGGGAAAATGAAGGCTCGCTGGTAGGCAGTCTGCATCATCCCTCATTTCCATCGAATGGTCTGGATAGAGAATGGAACAAAAAATGTTCTGTCAAGGTGACTTAATATGCTTTTGGGACAGTGTGAGAGAGAGATAGAGAGAGAGAGAGAGAGAGAGAGAGAGAGAGAGAGAGAGAGAGAGAGAGAGAGAGAGAGAGAGAGAGAGAGAGAGAGAGAGAGAGGGAGAGAGAGAGAGAGGGAGAGGGAGAGGGGGAGAGGGAGAGGGAGAGGGAGAGAGAAAGAAAGAGAGAAAAAAGGTTTGTTTCCTTTGTTTGAAATGAAGCGAAGCACATCAACACAATAATGGTCACATAGTGCAGGGAAGGAGCTAGACAGATAGAAACAACAGACGGAAAGAAAAGAAGTAAGACGTACCAGCAGCAAGCACCCTCTAACCACCCATGCAGAGAGGAAAGGGGGGGGGGGTTATACAGGCTGAGAGAAAGATAGACAGAGACAGACAAATGACCACCACGCATATATGGAGGAAACAAAAGACACGGAGAGGCTGAGAAATAAACTCAGTGCCTTTGACAAACTCTATCTTGTACTCACTGAGCTATTCAAGATGTCATGAGCATAAAGACCCTCCTTGGAGTATCTGTCGAATTTTGTAGCGTATGCCTCCAATTCTGGGCGATTTTTTGTTGCAACGTAAGTCTAGATGACATAAAAACAGACACAAAACACAAAAAGAGGTATTAACATAAATTCTTGAGGATATCAAATAAACAAAATAAATGATAAATAATATCATTTCAATTCAAAAGTCATACATAATGAACAAATTGCAATGCTTTTTAATTCTCACTTAGAGCAACACAGCTCAATTAAAACTGATCTGTGTTCTTTCTATTTTTTAACATTTTACATAAAAGACAAAGGAATAATTTCCAAATATTTCAGAAAGTATTTTAAAAACAAATAAAAGTGCTTAACTTAAAGCACACATCTATTTAAACATTTTTCTTTAAAAGGAGCACTACAAATAAACATTTTGATAAAGACAAAAGCAAAACAAAGGAAATCCATGAAATATTTATGGATAGCTTATAAAACTAGCTTAAACAAATCACAAGAAACTCACTTCATTCTTTGGTACCTATCATCCTTTCTCCCAGAATATGTCGGACAAAAGTCCAGAAACAAGTTGCATTTCACGAGAAAACCTTTGCAACATATTTTCATATAAAAAATTTGCGAATAAGATTCCATAAACCACTATCAGCAGAACTCCCCACTTTTTTCATACAACCCTATCTGTTCTTAAAAAGATGAACATGAACAGACAACATTTAAACTGCACATTAACATTGAAAAATAACTACTCACATCCATGATTGCTTTATGGCAAGACACCTTTTTGGCCAACTCTATCCGGGTTTCCACATCATCAATAAGACTTAAGTACTTTTCTAATATCTGAAAGTGAAAAGTAAAATATTCAACAATGACAATTTATACACAAAAACCAACAAGCATAACATCAACAGTAATAATAATTTAAAAAAAACAAACAATAAAATTATCTAAAAAAAAACAAACTTAGACAATATATAAACAAATTTATATGCAAACAAAAAGTGTAGACTAACATAATTGTTAAAAGAAAAAAATATTGCGAATCTTAAAAAAACAAAAAAAAACGTAAAATTTATTCATTAAACCGTTTTCACTAAAAAGAATAATATAAATGTAATGCGACGCAATGGAATCGGGTGCTCGTCTTGAAGCTTGTTCATTTGTCTTGCTTTTGATAAAAAAATAAAAACCATCCATCTTAAAAGACGTTGAGATATTTGAGACTGAAGGAGGTGGGGACAACTTGGTGTTAGAGGTAAAACTAGCCAGAAAATTGCCAACAAAGTTTGATGACTTTCTAAGCTTGAGTATCCTTCGAAACTACAAATCTACATTTTTCCTGCCTTTTCTTTGACATTTTGTTTTTCAGTAAAAGCCATACAGAATATCCTTTAAAATGGACATAAAAGGTGTTGAGCCCCATCCAAAAAAACCCACAAAAAAAAAAACAAGAAAGGAAATGTGCGGAAAATTTACGGTTTCTTCAATTTCAATAATTTGATGAGTGCCTGATTTTACTACGAAGCACACAAATATTGTGTGAAATATGTTATGTTTTGACAAGAAATACTTAAGATTTACCTCAGGGGGTGCAGAGTTTCGGTGCAAAATGTTAACAATTTTGTCAAAACCTATAACACTTTTCATCTTAGTGCCACCAAACCAGCCCTGAAAAATAAAAAAAATATATTATATACCATACTTGTGCCTACGTATGGTCACGTAAAAGGAGGGTTGCTTTGATCACGCCGAATCGGCCGATACACACTATGTGATATGAATATTATATGAAAGGCTGCAATCTATTTAAGAAATCTCCCAAACGAGAGATATATAGCATAAATATATATCAAATAAAGCAGAAAATTAGAAAGGACAGCATGAGAGTGAATTTGTAGCACAATTCGCAAACATTTTTTTGGAGATGCTTTTACAAGGACCAAATTTGTAACTGTACTTTAAAACTCTGTTGTCTTTTTTCCTACAAGCAAAGTGCCTTGAAAATGAGGCTCTAGTTATCAACTAAGCCATTCCACACATTCTATGAGCCCTTATGAACATCAGAAATTACTACTAAATAAAATTTGTACCTAGATCTTTCCTATAGCATTCCTCCTCACCTATAATTTCTATTTCAGCAACGACCAAACTTATTGAAATTTAAGAGATTTGATAGGCTTCACAATATCAAGCTTGAGAAATTAATGGACAATACATACTGAATAACTTCATACACATAAGTATGGGTGATAGAAACCACATGCAAACACACACCCAGACATAAGCGTACACACTCAATACAGCATAAAGACTTGCTTCATAACCACTGAAAACATCACACAAATTTGCAGACTATCGAAAACTCACCTTCTATAAATACAGAAAGTGGCTACTGTAGTGCAGCTGGTACTAATCGTCACATAAAATTTTAAGCATTGATTTCAATTTAAGTCTAAAATATTTTCCTTATCTGTCCCCGAAACACTCTTCCTCAACTTGTCATCCTGACAGAAGTCTAGAGATACATCTTTGAAATGATCCCAACACTGGTTATAAATGTACGAAGAATTAGCCACCCCCAAACCCCTACCCCCCCAAAAAAAACAACTAACAAACAACGCAATAAACAAATAAATGAATAAAACAACTAATAAAGTTTTAACACTTAAAACAAAATGCATGTCTTTCACTTGCCTTAGTGGTCAACATTATCTCAATGTCTTTCCAATGTCTGACTTTAGCCCTTGCCGATATTGCAGTCCAGAGGTATTGCTTATCTGAAATCTACACAGACAGCAAAACAGTGTAAAGCGATTTTGTAGAATTTCTCAATAAATCTGTGATACTCATTCACTTTAAGGGATAAATAAAAATCCAGTTCTGACTCTTCAATACGATTACAGCATTCCTAAAACAACTTTCAAGAGGTCAGCTGCAAATTTTTAATTAATCTAAATAAACAAAATAAATTAGAATTTTAAAAAATAGAATGACATAAAGAAATCATTAAATCAAAAACATGTCATGCTCAGGTACACTCATTTCAAATTCTTTAAATCTATTAATCCTGACCGTACCCCAACCGACTCTGTACCCGTCCGGGGCCGCCGCACCATATGAGTTGGAATTCAGTGTGTATATTTCAAAGTGCTGTATTTCTTACATTTACTCTTAGATTTAAGGAAATTTAGCAGTTATGTTAGAAATTGAAGGTAGTATCTGAAAATGTAAGTGGTTAGCGTTTACATTAATTGCACCATGTAGATTTTGAGGTGTATTCGACCCTCCCAACTTGACCCTGATTGCCACGCCCACGACGTCTCCTTGGATTTATAGATCTATCCCTACCCATTGGTACAGCACGAATTCCAGTACCAGTCCCTTCACCATGATCTGAATCACAATTAGATTAGTATAATTCCTGTTCGTTGTCATCCACAACCGAATTTACGAAACTTGATTCAGAGTCACTTTCATCAAATTAGTCTAATTCCCCCTAACAACCCAGCGCCACTTCTCTAAATGCTTAGTCGGTCATGAACAAGCGTTTTTGAGACATTTTTAAAGCTTCTGCACTCATCAAAAACAAAGAAACCGCTTGTCATTGGATTGGAAAAGTGAAATATTCAGACAGAGCTAGCATCGCCATATTTGTGTATTTTGGTAATTAGCTGCTTGATGTGACCGTATAGATATTCCGAGTTTCCTCGTAGCCCGGCCTAGTCCTTGTTACGAGAATACTCGTAGCCTGGACAAAAAGAGTTAAATATCAAATTTTCTGGAAATAATCCTTCTGAAGTATTACCTGATGTCTCTTCTTTATAGCTGCAGGACTGCCCAGAGAGTTCTGAAACATGAACAGTTAAGCTTTGAACATTTCCTTGTTCTGTCCTTAGGAGATACTCTTATTGTACTCTTTCCAGCTATATTATCATGTTTGATATAGATTTTGGTTGAAATATGATACTCCAGTTTTACACTTTAGCCGAATGTCACAAAACTTTTCTTTCATGGCTGCATATTAAACACATCATTTAATATGTACTGGAGTTCTACAGTCACAAATCTTTTTGGTTAAAAAGGTATACATTAAATCCTTAAATACACATGTAAATGGCTGTCATGGAAATGAGTTGGTCTTCATTTCGATAAAGAGCAGTAACAGACAGTGAGTAAGGCAAGATCTAAATAAAAACACAGGGAAAAACCCCCATAAAACCCAACTATGGATGACACAAATGCAATAATTTGTGTAATTAATTTTAAAATCCCAGTCAAAATTCATAAAGATCACAATTTAAAGAAGAGGCATAAAAAATAATGTATCTTTTTGTTTTCAACTAGACACACACCAATAAGGCTTAAACGAACTGAAACACAAACAAGAAAAAAACATTGCTGATGCTATGTCAATCTATATGATGGCCCAAGATTTTGAACATGGGCCTACATAAAGGATTAGACAGAAATTCTCAAGAGCTACATGGAAATACATACAGACAAGGGACAGAGATAACTGAACAACTTTAGTTGAACTAAAAAATATATAAAGACAAAACTATGTCAGAAAGTTAAATTCAAAATATACATAAAAAATTAAGTGCTGGTCTTACATAGTCTGTTTTGACAAAGCAGATAAAACGAGGATTCTTCCCAGACCAGGGGCCCTATCATTTCTCTTCACCTATGAAAGTGGTAGGAAAGAAACAAAGTATGGGGCAGTCCACGTCACCCCCAGCCTTACCTCAGACAAGTCATAGTGATATAGACAGCAATAGTACAATGTTGTCACAACAGGCATGCCAATGAGGGACACCTTGCGAGGAATGTCTCTGAACATCTGTGAGCGCCCAGTGGCTTCTAGATTTGCATCCGATTCCTACAAAAACAAAATCAATCTGCACATCTATCAAAATGATTTTTAAAAAACAAAACAAGCTGTGCTCAGTTTGAAAGAGCAAAAAAAGTATGATATACAAACAGCAATATTTACAAATACTTTTCTCACTTGTGACCATCACAATTACTAAATATGATTCAGAATATTGAACTTCAATACTGAACACAGACCTAACATTCTACAGACAAAATAAGCATTAAAAGCTTCTATCCTAAACACAATATAAAGTCACTGTACTGATTGTGTAAAATCTCATTTTTAAAGTGTTTTCAACAAAAGACAAAAATTCAAATAACTAAACAAAGCAACAAATTGAATACACTCCTGTCATACAAATACAATTTTCAAAATTTCCAAATCAGAAATTCAGTAGAAACAGCCTTAACTCATTCCCTACGTATTATTTTCGGCTTGTGGACTAATTTTTTTCGGGAGGGCGAAATGAGATGATGACTAGTGCAAAGTTCACAGGTCTTGGGGGCCATAAATTCAAATAAATATCAACATATTATATACCAACATTTTCAGTATGGTTTGTAGAATACATCTGTATTATTTATTTGAGTATTTTTAAACTTTGGTTCCTGTAAGAGGTGATTATGCAACACAATTGTGATTGGCTGCGGATAAAATTTGAAAACAAAAAATTTATAATCTCAGATGAAACAAAAAAAAAATGTTTGCACCTAGATCTAGTCAAATTATACATCAAAATAACCATAGCTGTATATAGAACAGGAAAATATTGAACAATGAGCAGTTATTTACATACATTCCATAATATTTGTACATTTGGATCATAACCTCCGATATAGAATAAAATTAAAAAAAAATAATTTTGAAAAAAGGATCCGAAACAGAAAAAACACTCGTATCTTATATGGAATTATTCAGAATTGTATTTGGAATAAACCTATACATGTCTTGGGTGGTACTTTTTGAGTAAATTCACCAAAAAGTTGTGATTTTGGGGAGAAAAAAAATATTTTAACTATTTAGGTCCAGGCCTAGATCTAGCACTCAAAAATATTGATTTCTCAATTACAGTGCACTGGCAATTTGAGACCAGTAGTATCAATATTATAAAGAAGAGATCTACACTTCTTTAGTGAGCAAAATAATGATACATTTTGTTGTGTAAAAGTACTAAGACTGGTGTCTGGCTATAATTTTGGCTTCGCGATAAAACAGTGTCGCATAAACTTCGAAATCGTGTTTCAAAATTGAATCAAAACTTCCGATTTTCGGTGGAAACGCTTGACCCGGAAGTCAACTTTATATTATGACCTTTATTTTAACATGGATATGTGGATTGGAATAGAAACCAAGCTAAAATTGAACGTCGGTTCTCGAGCCGCCTAGGGCGGCTTAGGATACTGACGGCACTTTAGCCGCGCCGCCCCCCCACGGCTCGGTGTAGCGAATGAGTTAAGAATAGAATTTTAAAACCATTTTACAAATTATTCTGGAATATTAGTTAAGCAGGGCATTCTCATGTGCTGCTTCCGCAATGAATAAAAAACCACTTTTTTAATAAGCGTGGCTCCCACTTGATGAAGCATGTGAAGAGACTTATACCACCAATAGTAAACTTTTCCAATCTATAATGACTATTCAATAATAGGTAGTAAGGATGCTTTAGAGGGTTGTACGAATGCCTAAAGTATGAACACTCAATAAACAAATCCCAAAATAATTCACAGGTTACAACATCAAAAACTTCCATCCTCAGGAAATGGCATCTTAACCAAATAAAAACCCAAAAACTAAATTTCACTCAAACTCATAGGGATGTCTTGAAAATATGAAAACATTTTTTTCAACAATATAACTGGTTGACTATGCCTCTGATATCTCATAAATGTTTTCATATAAAAGAGAAGGAAAAGTCCTTACATCCACTGGTCTTTGCCGTTCAAGAAGGTCTATATATTCTTGTACAAAAGAAGATTCTTGAGAAAGGTGCGGGTCAGCAGAGAAGTGACTTCTGCAGGAGACATCACATCAAGATATTAGATCACAAGCTGAAATTCTAGTTCACTTATAATATACATTAATGGGCTTTAAAAATTTGATCAAAAGATTAAACCAGCTCGCATAATATAAACCCTTTCAAAATATAAGGACCAAAAAAAAAAGAGAAGCAAAACGTGAAATCAGTTGTCATTTCATGTGAAAATGATCAAATACAAAAATGTAATTGTATTTATCCTGACCAGATGACTCCACCCCCTCCCCTCTCAAATCTAAACGTAAAATAATAAGTAGAGGGGAGAGGGAGGAGCATCTTATATTCTGAAACGGACCAGAAGACAATGCACTATTTTACGTGTGGGAAATGTTCTGGGGCTGTACAGGAATGGTAAAAACACAAGTAGATATACACAAAATTTAGAATTACTTTGATATAAAAATTTCAACATGAAGAGAAAAATAAAGCTGGCAATAATACATGTTGGTATGTTTCAGATTTTAAAAGTCATATAGATATATTTGTATAATATAAGTATTTTTTTTTGCTTTATAATCATGGCACTGAAGACAACAAATAATTCATACACATACCTTAAACTGTCTTTCAGTTTGGAAATTTTCAATCCCACATCTGTTGTAGGTAAAGCCAACTTGAACTTGAAGGCCTGAAATAATCAACAACACTATCAAACAAGAATCTAGAAATCAGCAAGTCTTGAAAACAAATAGCTACACAGCATCGGAAAATGGGGATGACTAAAGAACCTGGTTGTCCGTACACTTCAACAAAATAATTTATTTGACAGCATGAAATCAACCCTTCCGTAGATATACTCTCACTGCAAATGCACAAATAATCATTAAGCGTATTTTACGAAAACTCTTTACTAATATTGAGTTTTCAGTCACATGACACACGAACTGAGATATTAATACTTCTTAAGCAATGCAGCTTATATGAATACACATGCATATTAGTCAAACAGCCACAACAATACTCACAGCAGCTTCTTCAGTGCGTCCTAACATTCTGAAAAGGAACATAAGTAACGAAATAAGAAACCAGTGGACATGTTTTGCATTGACAACAATGCTTTCTCTTTCTGTCTCTCTTTTGTATAACAACTCAAAAAGAAATTTCACTAAGTGTATCTTCCAACAAGACCATTGCTGCAGTGTTTTATGTTATAGTCCAAAATTCACTTTAAAAAATCATAGAGGAGTTTGGAAGGGACTCGGCATTCATTTATCTTTTTTTATAAGAGTCTTAAGCGACATTAATGTAGTAATTATTGAAATATTGTGGTTGGTTGGGGAATGCCAAAGGTGGGTCAACTTCTAAGCTATCCCTCTTTTGTTTCTGCTTGTCTTGCCTTTTCCCAAGACTAAATGACCATTGCAGTCTTAATGTGCTTCTCTTGTAGTCTTACAAATAAACAGAGAGCCGACTTGTCACTCCAAACCTTGACATAAAAAGACTGACAAGATACTGATGTAATATTGTACACCATACGAACATTTTCGATAGATAAAAACAAAAGTTCATAGAAGTAAGCGGCTGAGAAAATAGAAAGTCTTGATAACATCTTCATTATTTTTATGAAAGCAGAACGTTCATATTATTTTCCAGGTCATGAACTTACACTAAAACGTTGATGTATTCTGCAAAATCAAAGTGAGCTTTCAGGTAACTGAGGTAATGGTCTGCTGCCTGAGGCCTGCACAAGAGTTCTCTGTTGAATATTGTCTTTGTCACAGTGCTTTGTAAGAACAGCACTGCCTGCGGGCATGAAAACAGACAACAGTGAAATGAGATAACTGATCTAACAGCAAACACACAAAGTAAATTTTAATTCATACTTAAATCTTTTTCAAACAAGCACAAACTGAGCATAACAATGTCATGAAAATTAAACATATTTATATGACAAGCAAAAATATTATCAAAATGACATACCCGTAACATCAACATCATCAATAATCAATGTAGTAAACACTGGGTCAACTTAAAATCTCCCAGAAGTCTCGATACTTTGAATAATAAAATATAGATAGTACTTCCAACTCAGTTTGGTATCATGCTGATTGCAGTGGAAGTCTTTTTTGTACTCAAAAGAGGCATTCATGGTCATGACAAATATGAAAAACTGGGTCTCCTAACCAAAGATGACATCACATCATCATCACACATTTCTTATTTGATTGTTTGCACTTTAACTTTGACTCTGGTAGTGTGATGTTGTGGCACTTTATTTGATTTTAAAATATTATGTTACTGATCAAATACATTGATGAAAAATCTGAGGAAAAGAGAGAACAAGACTTACTGCTGTGATTGCATTCCCATCATGCAACCTGACAGCCTTATCCAGTAGCTCCAGTTTGTCTTCCAAAGATCGATACAACTCCAGAGAATAGCCCTGTGCACAAAATAAATAAGGTTCAAAAGCGGTACTTGTTCCAAGGCCTTTGGTTTAAAGGTCATGAAAACATAATTAAATAGTGACAGACATACTAAAACTTCGGTACAATGTACTTTCTTTGAACCAGAAATGTGTTTGTCACAGCCATAATAAGCTGGTGCTATGGTATTAAAGAAAAGCTACACTGGGGAATTGTGGTTTTCGAAAATGTATTTAGTGGTTTTGTGTACGCCCCACTTGAAGAACCTACAAGCAAGGTTTTACTGCAGGTCCACAGGAGTGGAGTACAGCTACCAATAATCATATTATTTTATCATACATGTTTACTGTTGTAAAAAAAAGTACTACCATGCATCAACCTGTACTACAATCTCAACTCATACAGACTCACTAAGAGGAATGTTCTTTCCCACTCAGTCTGGCACAGAGGAAGGGTACTCAAAACATTATCATAAAATATCAGGGTGCAAGACTGTTCAAATGAATGACTTGACACACGAATCAAAATGTATCTGTCATGACATCTTGCCATTCATCCAAAAGCACAACAACCTATCCTTTCAGGTGTTAGTTTATCTTAAACAAAACTACAGGCCAGTTTAAACACTCTGTACAGAAGATACTTAAACAATGGAAAAACCCCATGATGGAATCCAGAAGGAGAGCATCAACATTCAAAAAAGAGAAAATGAGAGTTCGACTTTAATTTTTGCAAAGTCATGACTATTGATCGCAAACTAGGTTTGAATTGATTCTGCAGGAACAAGGCTGCTTAACTGATATAAGCATACGTGTATACAAAAAAAAATTATGTGTTTAAGGTGCAGCATACGTATCCCTTAGCATAGCAGAAATGATCATTGTAAGGAAACAACAAATCTTAGTACCTCTCCCTTCATAATCCTCCTTAGAGTGTCATCCACAGGGAGCTTGACCCATCTATCCCTTTTGGCTCCCTATACAACAGAGAGAAGAAAAAAATAATAAAATCTGAAAAATAAAATACATGACAGATGCAGCAAGAATACACCAAACAGAATCTCTTTCATTAAGGGTTACAATTTCTTTGAAACAGTTCACATGAAAGAGATATCGAGTGCTTTGTTTCCTTCGATAAAATTCAGACACCACCTCAATATAAGGCACATAACGATTTATAAATGAATACTAATATTCTGATATCTTCGATATCTTTTCAACATATGAAAGTTAATTAAAAGCAGGAACCCAACGTAACACTTGTGAACATGACAATTTTTTGCAAATTTTGTCTTCAACACGTGTAGTATCCTTGTCTCTGTTATCTTGCCATTTTGACATGTACAAATAGTTACATCAAAGCATCAGAAAAGAAGTGTGTTAATGAAAAACATGAAGGATCATAAAATATTATATTTTGAACAAACATAAAGACAACAGGCAGTACTAAAGTACCAAAAAAAAAGGATTCTTCTGTAAACCATAAAACATTAATAAATGAAATACTTACCAATAGGGATCGTCGTAATGATTGGATTTCTTGCTGCATTTTGTCAATATCTGAGGCAGACATCTGCTTACGTTTTGATCCATGGGAGACTGAATTTTAGAAATAGAGTTCATATCACAAGACATTAAAGGGAAAATTTCAAAACCAGCATGTTTTTTTCAAAAACTGGGGTAAAACTGCAAAATTGGCATGATTTTTCCCCAGTACTATTCATTCATCATAGCCAGGTCTAAAAACAGACGTGAGCTCATTTTTCTACTCTTTATTCCATCAACAATCTTAAAGCCAAAATCTGTGAAGTACATCACTTCAGAAGGTTAGGAAGCCAAGCTTCAATGCTGACAAAAATAAAACCATAAAAATACATTTATCATGTGACAGTTGTTAACCAAAATAAACCTTAAAACAGCCAGTTTTGGTTGACTTTATGCTTTTTTAAATGGGTAACATTTACAAATTTTTGCAACCTGAGATACAAACTAACGCTACACTAAAAAACATTGTTGAACTTTTCTAGGTGCCACATATATCATTCAATCTGAAGAAAGATGGAAATAAAAGATCATGTTATTTGAACTTTTTAGAAATTTGCTTTCCAATAACAGTTTACACAATATCAAGTCTCATATACAAAGTAAACAACAGACTGAGAAACCCTATTACAAACACAATTGCCTTGCTTTTAAGGTTAGGGCGAAAGAGTCTTGGTCAAGGATGCAATAAAAAAAAAAGTCCACTGTCTAGTGTCAATTGACATTTAACAATCCTCCTAAAACTTTAGAAGAGACAAAGCATGCAAAGAAGGAAACGATGATAGTACAGAAATGAGCCCGATTACTTACAGTCATCAAGTTCTTCCAAACTCGTCGTAGAGCTCATTGGAGAGGGCACAAATTGAGGTTTCATAACTCTGGGCTCAATATTTACTGAGGAACCTGTCGGGATTATACAGAATCTTGAAAATGCTGTAATGTTAACAGACAATAACAACAAAACAGAGCAGATAAAAGAATCTGAATTCAGTAAACCACCAACTAATGTTCCTCATGGAACAATAAAGCACAAGAGAGGACCTCAAAATTGACCAATAACCAAGACCGTTCTGTTCACAAAAGTAATGCAGTTGATTTTGTTTAACCTGAAATTCCTATTACCATGATGGATTTTTTTTAAATACCTGTTTTTTTCACCAGTATCATATTATATTCTATGTAGTGCAACTTCCCATACCATGAAATATGCCTAATATGAAGAATCTGTGAAGTTTACGTTATCAGGGTATTTACTGTGCATAGCTCTGCACCACATAATCACTTCCCTTGGAGCATGAACTATAAAATAATCTTTATTTACTTGACTCTGTCTTTACATTACAGTGAACAAAATTCTTCGTACAAAAAAATACTTCAGGCATAGCAAGACATTCAATTCGAAGTATTCATCTTGTCTCAGCTCTGTACCAGTGGTAACCTATGCATGAAAGAAAAAAAGTAAGTAAAAAATCTTAAATTCACAACTTCCAATATCTTGGAAGTAATGCTGGTTTCTCTGTCTCCAGGGAAAAGCATAACATTAATCATGGCAGGATTTTCAAACAAAGCATGGATTTTGAAATCCAGGCTCCTTTAACGTTCACAGAGAAACACTACATCTCTGACATAATTTTAATAAACAGTACAGATGGCAGACTATGTGGGATCCTACTACCAGCAAGTAAGTAAATAGGCAGTATTCTTTTGTATCCAGTGTAATTTAACATAGCCCCTAAAAGATATTACATCACATTGTCAAAGCAACCTTTTATATCTTTCTTTTTTTCAGACCAAGAAGCAAAGAAGCTTCATACATATCCTGCTCTTACGCCTTAATTCACAGTATGGCATCAATGAGGGAAAACAATTATATAAGACACTTTATGAGTGAAAAGGAAACACTGCTGGCATTACCCAGGGTCAGACTCTGAGAGCGGCTGTGCCCAAATGTCATAGCGCTGTTGACACCCCCAAAGCTTGATGAGGAGGACATGGACGAGCTGGTGGTGGGTGGATTGGATGAGGTACGGGAGGTAGAGGATACAGCCGGCACTGCCAGGGAGGATAAATCTGGCATAGGAGTCTTTGAGGCATTGCTGCTGCCTAGAGGTGGTATCACAAGGAGGTGCAAAGGGGGAAAAATATGGAAGTGATAAAAGAAAAAAGAAAGAAACAGGTGCACACAAAAAAAAAGGATATAAGAATCCAGGGTTAAATTGAAGCAAACAGTATGCAACAAGATCATGAAAGGGGAAATTATATATTTTAGGTTTGGGAAAATGTGGCATTGCCAGCTGCTGTCTAGAAGTCCCAGCATGTGATTGATCAAATTCAAGGATAATTTATGCAGATACAAAATTTTGATATACTACAGGAAGCTCTTTCTCCCCTCAACGCCCTAGAGGTACAAAAGGTCGGATAAAGTAAAGTAAGACTACAGTATACAGTGAACTTGCATCCACATGCACATTCAATTGTGAATACAGGGAGCGAAAGGAGATGATAAAATGAATACAAATAGTAGAAATCAAAGTGAGGTGCACTGCATCATCAAAGAAATCAAAGGAACATGAAAATAGTCACAGCACTATGGTCAGCTGTCACAAATAGTTCACTGACATTTTTGACAAAACACTGATCTTACATTTAACCCCGATAATTGCCACAACCATTAAGTCAATGATAATAATAATGGTACAGACTTCATTTTTAAAATTTGCACTCAGACTTTCTCATTGACCTTGTCCTTACAAACACTGACTGAGGATGCTAGAATTTCTGAATCTATTACATAAACGTCAAAGTAAAAAGCAGCATTGGAACATAAAAGTTAACAGCACTACATGGACTTAATCAGGATTTTAAAAATAGTCTTTAATTTTTTTTACAAACCCATTAGGAAATAGATAGCCTCACTCAAGTTTAATAAGTTGCTTATCTAAAAAAAACAACCAACCCATTCTTTCTTATCTTTAACTAATAATTTCAAGTCAAGTATGCGTACTATAACAATGACTATAATGCTACTTTATTCAACCCCAATATGATAAGATTGTGTTCTTTGCTTCTTTGTTTTTTTAATCAACACCTGACATTGCATATCTATATAATGAAGTATAAATTTTGACAGAAATCAATTAATAAATATATAAAGATAAATGAAATAACAGAGAGACAAACTTTTTGTGAGAGGACAAACAGTGCCTTCCCTTCATTTTGTCATTGAAGTCAGAGGAAATTAAAATATTGTTGATGGTGATTGGAGAGGGCGAGGTAAGGGGCAAAGATATGAACATAATAGTGGGTTTTTCAAATTGGATAAAAAAAGAAACCAACAACCCCCCCCCCCCCCCTGAAAAAAACAGGTGGTCTTCAAAATCAAGAGTGAAAAGTGAAATATAAAAGAGTAACCCCCCCCCCCCCCCCCACACACACACACACACTACAAACGCACCTCGTGCTATCCATTCATTTCAGTACTTACAAACAACGGATGCATATAATATATTCAGCAAAAAGCGTTACAATCTTCAAGGGTATGGGAAACAGACTGATAGGGGAAAAAAACGACCTTATATAAAACATACTTTGCCCTTAAAAATAAAAACAAGACAAAAGCTGAAAATACGTCATTGTTCCTGAGATTGAAAAAGAAAATAAGGCTGACAACCTTCTCACAATTACAAGAAAGTTGCATTTTTCCCCTTAGACTTTGATGTTATATATACTATACGTACAAAATAAAAAATTATATTTATTGCAAAATCTAAACTAATGAAAAGAGTATCTTCTCTTTGTACCAAGAGGCACCTAAATTTTGTACCAAGATCTTGACATGTTCAAATTCTCAGGTTCCAATCCACTCAATAGAAAATGAAAGCAATCTCAACCTGTTATAATTCTTGTTAAGGACAGATATGAACAGTAAATTTAACATACAAATGAACAATGCCATCAACAAATGAGGGGGTAAGCAAAGTAAGCTACTCACTCTTAGCAGTGTACTTGACCACAGGTTTTCCATCAAAAGTAATTTCCTCGTCATCCTCATCTTCATCTTCTATTTGTGAGGATTTGATGATCGTACGAGCCGCGTCCAAACTAATCTGAAATATTCAAAACCCATAAACCAAAGTGATAACCTCATTCTTTTCATAAAGTAGACAATTACAATATTAATATTACCATGCCATCCATACTTTTTACTAAAAAGTAAAAGTAATGAAGGAAAATTTCCTGAACAACAGATGCTATGGATGAAAGCAAATTGTAATAAGTAAATTAGTGACTGAAAAAAAAAAGTACAAAGAAATGGATAGTACCTGGAAATCTTTTCGCTATGTACTGATTTTCTCTATGCACATGTTTTAAATACAAAGAATACGCATGTATCAGTATAAAAAACAATTCGAGATCTGAAAATCATTCTCTGTACGTGCTTTTTTTATATGTGAGTGCTAGACTGTATATTTTAGTATTTAAGATCAGGAAATGACATGATTATATTTTCACAATCATACACTCTTTATATAAAACCGTAAGTTAGAGAACACAATTTATTTATTTTATTGTTCCATCCCCTAAAAATCGTAGAATGCCATTGCCAGTTTACTGAATTTCGAAGTACATTTGATAAGAGACGATTGAACGACCATGAATAATTGTGACATTTTAGAAGATATGACTGGGTTCATTACCTTTTATCATTTCTTTAAAACACATTGCAATTGCTTGGAAAGCCATCTTTGCTAAAAGTGTGGCCAACCGTAAACATTACTTACTACAAGAAGTACATATAGCTGTCATAATATAGTGCAGCAAGCTTTTTTTCTTGATAAACCAGTATTTTGCTATAAATCCATTTAAATCACTGGTGTGATCTTTCAAACTGAATTCAATAGATAATGTTTTCATTTTGTTACTCATCAATCAACGGAATACATATAACTAAGGGAAACTAAAGCAAGAGAACAGAAACCCAGCCTCACACTCACATTGTCATCAAAGATATTGACTTTCTGCCTTCCTCTCTTTCCTGCATTTTCAAAGCTTGCTCCGTCATCATCATCCATAGTGACTGTAGAGATGAAAATACGATAAGAGTGAACTGGCATTCAAAGCTACCTCTAAATTATTAACCAAAATGATGACAACAGATCCATAATTGAACTACTGATGAGCCTCCAAGAAAGAATTACCATTTCTACATGATGTTCTAACCTCATTACCCTATTCCAGCAAATGTGAATAAAATATCATGTGAAAAATAAATGCGCAAAATTAATTGATGTCCCTTGCGAGACTCCAAGATTATTATTTAAAAGGAGTGACAACTGAATTTAATGTCTACCTCCGATTGGACTGAGCTGAGCTCGATCACGAGTCCAATAGCCTAACCACTGAATTCAAGACATCGTTATAAAATGTGCAAATCTGGATTGTCGATTTCTGTTTCACATCCTTCTTTAGTCGAGGTATCAACCTATTTTTCTTCCTTACTGTTCCAAACAACCAAATTCTTATACTATTATTTACTGTAACTGTAACTTAAGAGCTGTTGCAATTGATTCTTAGAAAAAACTTTACAGTTCTTGGAGTGACTCATTCAACTACTATCATCTGAAAAGTTACATACATTACAGGGGTGAACATTTCTTTTTTTTTTTTCCACATGCCCTGTCGGGCAACTAACACAAATATCTACTAGTCCAGTAGAAAAGTCAACTTGCTCGTTTTCAAACATGAAAACCATTAGACTGTCTATATATCAAGAAAGAAAAAAACAGCACTGATACGTGATACAAAATAATAAAACGTTTTAACATTGAATGCCTTATTTTTATACTTTTCTTTTTAATTATTTAATGGCTGAATATGATGGCTAAACACAAATTCCAAAATGTTCCCTTTCTTCATGATGTGTTTATGTCTGTTCTACACTCTCCTGACTCTGTCACCACTTTGCCACCACCTTTCTAAGGCAAGTGTCGCATTGTAGTCCATAACACTTGGCCCTTCCAAAGATGTACATCAACATGGACAGGACATCTGTGTTGAGCTTTGCCCTCCACTCAGATTTGATCCGCTTCATGGCTGAAAAACACCCTTTCTACACTAGCTGTGGACAAAAGAAGTGTGAGCAGGAGCTCAACTAGAAGTAGAATGCTTCTGAAGTCTTCCTGTCTTTTTGGGTCTACAAGTAACTGGCTCCAGATGGTTGATGTCCTTTGGATGGCCACTGGCATTCTCTCTATCAGTCTTTTGAGGGCAGTCCACTCCTCAGTTCATGCCAGCCTGATGTTGCAGGCACGAGGGGCTCTGCAAAGGTTAAACAGAAGACGCAGGTCGTCAGTTCCAAAGTTTGCCGACTCTACCGCCTCATCTGGCCAGTCTCTTGGGTCAAGCAGCTTTGATGTAGCCTTTAGTACTTGGTCAGACTCCAGGCACTTGAAACGTTGAGCAAGATCATTGTGCATGGCATCCAACACTGTGTTCTTGTTTCTGAGAAACTGCTCAGTAACCTCCTGACTGAAGTTGTTCAGTCCAATGCCATCAAAATGTCCTTCCCTTGATTGCTCCATGTAGGCTTCTTGCTGATCTCCTAGTGTTGTCTTAAAACTGGTCAGTTCTCTCTCTCGCTCTCTCTTCCGACTTCGCAGCAAGCGTGGCACAGGCTGACAGTGTGTCCCGGTTGGTGCAGTGATTATAATTAGGTACACAATGACAATTAATAATAATAGGCTTAGCTGTCCTGTAGCGGATTAATAGCCGGAGGTTTGCCAATGTCATTGACGGATGCCACCTCTCTCAGCACTAAGAGAATACTCAAAAACAACGACTGCCTTGTGATAATAATGACTTGCCCAGTCGGGCAGATTAAGCAGCCATTCTACCGGCCCGACAGGTGTTTACCTGCCTCGGGCAGTCCTTAATGTTCATCATCATCAATGCCTTTCACCCTTGGCAGGGTATAGGCCACATACAGGCTCCTTCCATTTATCTCTGTCCTGAGCCATTCTTCCAAGCTCGTTCCAAGTGAGCTTCATTTCAAATGTTTCCCGTGGCCTACCCCTGCCTCGTGCTCCTTGTGGGTTCCACTGCAGTGACTGTCTTGTGATGTTTCCGCTGGGCTTTCTTAAGGTGTGTCCCATCCATCGCCACTTTCTTAGTCCTATTTCTACTTCTATATCCTTTTGTCATGTCCTTTCCCACAGTTCTTCATTTCTTATTCTATCCTGCCACTTAATTCTTAGAATACTCCTCATACATCTGTTGATGAAAGTCTGGACTTTATTCAGTACTGTTTTCGTTGTCTTCCAAGTTTCGCAGCCGTAGAGGAGCACAGACTTGACGTTGGAGTTCAAGAGTCGAATCTTGGTGCGCAGCGAGATGTTGCTTGCTTTCCAGACTTTGGATAATTGCTTGAAGGCTGACCTTGCCTTGGCGGTTCTTGCTTTAACGTCTGCCTTGGTTCCACCTTTACCATCGATGACACTTCCAAGGTAGGTAAAGGAGTCCACTTCTTCCAGGGGAGTGTCTTCCACTGTTACAGCAGGGCTTGAAACTTTTCCTAGCTTCATTACTTTTGACTTGCCTGGATGTATACGTAGGCCAACACTCCTTGATAGCCTGTTGAGTTCCTTGGTCTTTTCTTGCATCTGAGCATGTGTGTGAGAGAGCAGCGCAAGGTCATCGGCGAAGTCTAAGTCGTCCAGCTGCTGCCAAGGGATCCATTGTATTCCATTACGTTTGCCTCTGGTGGCTTCTGTCATGACCCAGTCAATTGCCAGTATGAAGAGGAAAGGTGAGAGCAAGCATCCTTGTCGCACTCCTGTTTGTACCTGGAATGGTTCTGAGAGTTGTCCTTCGTGGAAGACTGGCAGTTTGTTCCATCATAGGTGGCTTAATGTTCATCCCTCCATTATAAATTAGCATGCATGTTATTATAGTCGAAACAGCCATGATACCACCTCTGTACAATCAGCCAGTTTCCATTTCCCCTCTTCTATTTTGAGTAGGTCACTGTTCACCAAGTCTTTCGGGACTTATCCAAGGGGGGGAGGCGTGTTAAACACTTGGACTAGGAGACCTTGACATGATACTTCAGGATTTAAAAAAACACAAAACACCACACACATGCACGCGCTCACACACACACACGTGCGCGCCCACACACACACCACACACACGCACGAGTCTGTGTGAATGTGCGTGTGAGTTAAATGTTTGCAAGCAAAAATTCTTACTCTAAAATTATGAGATATTGACTTTTACCCTTTAAGTTTATAAAACAAGGGTTTAAATACCCCTTAAAATAGTAAACCAAAGGGTGAAGGAACCTCTTAAGTTGGCCTGAAAAGGGACATGCCGTTAAATGTAGAAGACGCATCTTTCTGATTGGGTGCTAATTTTAGTAATGTGATGTCATCACTTCCTGGGATACTGACAGACTCTGTGGAGGTACCGCATGGAATGACGTGTTTTCAGTATCATTTCGGATTTCCTAGATCTAGACATTCTAGATCTAGACCTAGTACTTGGACATGATGGAAGATCACTCAGATGTAGATCTAGAACGTTGATGCTCAGAACAGTAAGATTAAGAATGCTGATGTTTGAAATTGAAACACGGTAAACGCAAAGACAATAAACCGCACGAAAATTGCCATAAAGACGCTGGAGGATTAGATCTAGAATCTCGATCTAATCTCTAAATCTACCCCCCCCCCACTCCTGCATTCTTCATCACTAATATACATTTTTTAAAACCAACTACAAAGCAACAAATTATTATTATGGGACAAACTGTTGGTCAGTCGGGAGGAGGAGAAGATAAAAAAATAATTGTCCGGGATCAGGATCGAACCGCTCATAAAATCGTTGCATGATTTCAAACGCAGATGCACTGTCTACTCGGCTAACAGAAGTTCCGAAAGCGGGAGGTAGATAAGCTTAGTATACATAGACACTTCCATCTTTGGTGCCATACGGTTGGCTATACTTAGATTAGTCACGTGATCGGAGGGGTATCCTGGTCTGACGTCAAACAAGATGGGCGTCTTACCTAAAAATAGTTTGCGTCGTTCTACGTTTAATTGCAAGGTGTCCGGGACCCGGATCGAACCGCTCATTAAAAAACTCATTCGCTATGCCGAGCCGTGGGGGGCGGCGCGGCTAAAGTGCCATCAGTACGCTAAGCCGCCCCCGGCGGCTCGAGAACCGATGTTCAATTTTAGCTTGGTTTCTATTCCAATCCACATATCCATGTTAAAATAAAGGTCATAATATAAAGTTGACTTCCGGGTCAAGCGTGTCCACCGAAAATCGGAAGTTTTGATTCAGTTTGGAAACACGATTTCGAAGTTTATACGACATTGTTTTATCGCGAAGCCCAAATTATAGCCCAGACACCAGTCTTAGTACTTTTGTACAACAAAATGTATCATTATTTTGCTCACTACAGAAGTGGTAGGACTCTTCTTTATAATATTGATACTACTGGACTAAAATTGCCAGTGCACTGTAATTGAGAAATCAATATTTTTGAGGGCTAGATCAAGGCCTAGATCTAAATAGTCAAAATATTTTTTTCTCCCAAAAATCACTACTTTTTGGTGAATTTACTCAAAAAGTACCACCCCAGACATGTATAGGTTTATTCCAAATGCAATTCTGAATAATTCCATATATAAGATACGAGTGTTTTTTTCTGTTTCGGATCCTTTTTTCAAAATTATTTTTAAAAATTTGTTGTTTCTATATCGGAGGTTCTTATCATCCAAATGTAAAAATATTATGGAATGTATGTAAACAACTGCTCATTTTTCAATTTTTTCCTGTTCTATATACAGTTATTATGGTTATTTTGATGTGTAATTTGACTAGGTGCAAACATATTTTTTTAGTTTTATCTGAGATTAAAATTTTTTGTTTTCAAATTTTATCCGCAGCCAATCACAATTGTGTTGCATAATCGCCCCTTACAGGAACCAAAGTTGAAAAATACTCAAATAAACAATACAAGATGTATTCTACAAACCATACTGAAAATGTTGGTATATAATATGTTGATATTTATTTGAATTTATGGCCCCCAAGACCTGTGAACTTTGCACTTGTCATCATCCCGAAAAAAATTCGTCCACAAGCCGAAAAAAATACGTAGCGAATGAGGTTAAACATGACTTCAAACGCAGACGTGCTGTCTATTCGGCCATCAGAACTTCCGACAGCGAGAGGTAGACTAAGCTTGATATATATATATATAGACACTTCCATCTTTGGTGCCATGCGGTTGGTCACTTAGATGTAGTCACGTGATCGGAGGGGTATCCTGATCTGCCATCAAACAAGACGGGTGCCACAGCTAAAAATAGTTTGCGTCCTTCTACGTTTAATCGCATGTTGAAAAGGGGGGTGATCTTGTAGTTCCGTTCGTTAAAGTGGACGATCCATTTGTTTACATTCAGAGAAAAAATCCATAAGTCTTGATGACCAAATTGAAATACACAAAGAGCAGCAATTTAACTGCAAAACATCAAATTAGCCTTTTATTAGGATAAAATACAGTGAACCCCCTCCCCCCACCCCATCTCCATATTTTTATTAGGTCAGGGGGGCTTCCCCCTTGAAACCCCCACTACTCTTGACTTGTCTTTAGACTTCAGCGAACGAAACTATAAAATCGCCCAAAAAAGGGGAGCCCTCCTAAGTTAGTAAGGTCTTCTTGACGATATATCGGCCTACCTTTCCAGGGTCAGGCAGAGGTTCAGTTGGTCTACAGCCCAGCCCTAGATCTAGTTAGTAGTATAATTATAGCAGCCTACAGTCACTTGAGTCACAGTCACAGTGCACTTCGCATCAGTCAGCAGAGCAAAACATCAATACAATACAGTCAGTAGGCTACTCAGCTTGATCTACAATACAATACTATAGCCTAGTTGAGAAATCCGAACAGAGTACGTTCCCTTGATGGATTTGACAAAATCCCAATCTATACTGGGTTTCCGATTTAAATGACAAAACAAAACAGTTCGACTACATTTTAATTATTCATTTTCGGAAGGCAAAAAAAAGAAAGAAAGAATCTGTCACCATTCCACTAGTTCACTTTGTGAGGTATAGATTTAAATTATGGTTAGCCTTAAATTATTAATATATAATTTTTGCTTGTGGGACTCTCTTTCATCACAATATTGGAATTCACAGTCGTTTACACGAAATCAGGGGACAACACTCTTGTTTTTTTTCCATCTCAAATAACTTGCCAACACTACACTGCAGTGCTAAATGGTGAACCCCAAACATGTTGTAAAGGAGACTGATTGACCTGGTAGCTTCGCAGCAGGACAATTACTTGTTCTTTGAAGACAAAAAAGCAGTCTACTTGACTGTTCAACGGTCACATACGCCCTACTGAAGTGAGGTGAGCCCTGGAACAGGCATTAGAGTCTAGATCTAGACTATCAAGGCAGTTTTTTTGGAGCTAGCCTAGCGCGTTTACTATGATGATGACTGCTTGTCTGGCTGTAGCCTTCTCATTCTGTTTACTTCATTTTGTAACGTGCATTTCTTAATATTTCATCCGTGCTGTGCTGTGACTCTTTAGATACAACAGTCTAGTGACAACTCTACTGTCAGTCTGAGTCAGTAGTAGATCTAGATCTAGTGGCCACCTCTATTCTCACCCGGGATGAGAATAGTGCAGGCGAGGCTTTTGAGACTTTTGGCTATTCTCACCCGGTGCGCGTTCACCATTATAGCCTAGATCTAGGCCAACAAATTTTACGTTCACCCTAAACCACAGAATTCTACACTGTGATAACAGAAAAATTGTAGAATTCTGTGCTGTGAACAAACGTTCCATTACAACTGTAGCCTACTGTCTAAAAGCGTACAATTTTGTCTGTCAGTGGAGAGAGAAAGAGAGAGAGAGAGAGGAGTAGCGCGAGAACTTCCGGGCAAAACAAAATGGCGACCCGCGTAGTTCTGCTTGATTCGAAAAGTTAAATAGCTGTAGCATCTTTGTAGACGACCAAATTAACTTACTTTTGTGTTTTAACATCATTTTTTAACTTTGTTTTAGTCAATTTGATCGTCCACACCGATAGACAGTATTCAGAAAGAGATAGAGAGAGAGAAGAGGGGAGGAGTAGATCTTGCGAGAACTTCCGGGCAAAACAAAATGGCGACCCCCGTAGTTCGGCTCGATTCGAAAAGTGAAATAGCCATAGCATCTTTGTAGTCGATAAAATTAGCTTACTTTTGTGCTATAACTATAACGTAATCTTTTCTTTGCCTTTATCCATTTGATCATCCACATCGATAGAAAGTATTCCGAAATTAGGAAAAACAGGTCTTGTTTCACACTGGGTGAGAATAGCCTACGGTGGCAAGTCTCACCCGGAGTGAGAGGTCGATCGTATTTCTATTCTCACCCCGGGTTAGAATAGCCACTTCCTAGATCTAGTACTAGTAGACAAGATCATTACAGTTACACCTTACGCCTTACTCTCTTACAACTCTACACAACTCAACAAGTCAACTGTTTTGACTGTAGGCTACGAACCGATTGCTCAGCTTGCGTCTTTTTTTGTGTCTAGATCTAGATCTAGTTAGATTCTAGATCTTTTTTCATCATGTATTCTGTTTTCAAGTAAACATTGTCTGTCGTCATTCCATGGGTCCAGGAACTTCACAAAACCTCAACTTTCACAAATGTAAAAACTCACAGAAATGTTGCTGTCCCTGGACAGCAACTAACGATATTCACACAGTTATCCCATTTCAGAGGAAAACTGTTCAGAATACAGAAAGTGCCATTTTGCCCTCAGGTGCGTTTTCCACCATAGACAACTGAAGAGTAAAAATATTATAACAACTAACGAATACATTTATAAATAAATTATGAACTGAATTAAAGAATAAAATGTAGAGCTAGATCTAGATCTATATTTGAAAAAAAATAACAAACAACACAACACAGCCCTCGTCCCCTCCGCCGCCAACTTAAATATATAGATCTAGATCTATACAACCCCCCCCCCAAATTTTTTTAAAAAAGTAATAAATTCCGTTCTCCCTTTCCGCTTATCATCAGGGAACCTAAATCCGGCACCCGGGGGATGGGGGTTTAATGACCGGATTATTGGCATACGGGGGGCAGGGAGGCAGAATTTATAATGACCAGATTATTGGCACCCCAGGAGGCAGAATAAAGGCAGCCTATGGTGAATCGCATTAGCTGAAGATATACCGACCCTGAGTGTTTGTGTAGTGCCATAACATGCTGACATGGGAGATGGAAATCTGTGGAGAAGTGACATGTGGAACTATACATGACGCCAGAGAATAGCCATCGATCTGTTGACTGGCGTGACACCAGAGAATAGCCACTTGCTATTAAATAATTAATTTTAAGGCTGTGCAGCTATTCGGACTCGAGTCTGAATAGCCTCCCGTGGCTCTTTGGACACAAACTCCAATGCGCGTGTGCGATCACCGGGTGTACCGGATGTGAAGCGGACTGGCAATTCGTTTTTTATGATCTGGCCAAATTTTTCGACCCAAATTATGAAAAGTATTAATGACGTCAAAAGTGAACAACAGTTGCAAAATCTGAAAAGCTGCCCGACATGCGCAAAAAGGAAAAGGGCAGTCTGAGCTCAAAGAGTGAAAAAAAAATTGAAAGTCAAAGTTTTGGAACAACGAAGGATTACTATCAATAGGTAGTCTACACCCATTTTATTTGACGAGAAAGACAAAGTCATTGATCAGTTGGAATTCCAAATAGAAATTAAAGAAAAGTTAAAACCCTTTCAAAGAGAACTAAAATCAGTCATTCAAAGTAAAAGTGGTCGAAAGGAAAAGCTTTTCCGACAGTATACACTTTATTTTTTTTTACATGTTCAAATGAAATCAGGACAAAACAATACATATTCTGATAGTGTTAGACAAGCAACAATCCTTCTACAGTAATGGAGTTTGAGTCTGAATATCCACTTTGTTTAATTAAAACCAAGTCTTATTTATAAACTATTAATGTAATCAGCAGATAGTTTGTTTGTAATTACTCTGTTGGTAGATTGTTGCACACTGTAGATCTAGGTCCAAGTCTAAGAATTGAATGCTGATGAAAATTAGATTTTAAAAGAAAATTATAAATTTGTTCTGTTTTGAAATAGATCTATGGTTAGTTATAAGTGTATTATAAAAGGCCTTGAAAAATCCACAAAGAAAGGTGATGGGGCTTGCTATGAAAAAGCTTAGTAGTACATCTTATCCAATAAGTATGATACGATAAAAATATAAGTTTGTTTCTCATTGAGCAGAAATAACATCCTGACATGCATCGTTATTAAAGTGTTGTGGATAGATACTCAAAGAAGAGGAGCAGGGCATGAGTATCCCCCCCCCCCCCTTCCCCTGGGTTAAAAAAAAAAGAACATTTTGTTTTCAAGAGAAGAGAAGAAATTGATCATCCAGTTTTGCTGTGTGTGTATAACTGTAGTGTAATATTTATCCATATGGACTATTAGTGTGTCTTGATTGTTTATACAATACTATGTTGTGTCTTCTTCAGCTTTTACCATGCGGGTGGTTCAGCTCAAAGCAAAGCAGATCGTCAGACTTGCCATTGGTGTTGGCATTTTCTTCAGCATCATTTTGATTTTGATGAAGATGCTCCAGTCACCTCCTCAAAAATCGTATTCCAGCAGCAACTTTGAAAAGCTTTCAGTAAGTTTTAATTTTAAAAATAATTGTAATCTAAGTTCCTGATCTATTTTTTCCCTTTCTTTTAGTTATATCATTCTCTTTGAATACCATTTCATTTGACAAACACTTTGACCATGTCATAGATATTTTAACATTTAATTTCTTTCCTGAAGTTTCTAAAATGTCTCTCATTTTCTATCCTCTTAAATTATGAAGAATTTATAAGTGTATTGGAAACAGACATTTTTTTTATACTGAGGTTTATTTCAGAGAAAGAAAATACTGTGTTAATAACTGTTATATTGACTTCTGACAGTAATATTGTGTTTCCTTTTAGGATGCTCTTCCACCACCAAACAAGCAGTGGAATGCATTGAACCCGATCAAATTTGCAGAAAACTTTTTACGAGCTCCCATAAAGAGAGAGAATACAAAGGATGATGAGCCATTTCCAGAGAAACAGTTGGGTCCTGCAGCTGTTTTTAAGAAAGGAGTTATTGGCAACTACGAGCCACGAGATGTGAAACAGTATGGGCCAGGTAGGTTTACAATTGAGGTGTTATTGTTAATATATATATTGGATACCTACGTAATTTCTGTCACATGTGTCACTACGAAATGCAATCAGACGCTCGTCAATGTTTGGTCATATGGAGATATTGATATTGTCAGTAAGACTGTTCATTTATCTTGTGTTTTATTTAAAAAATACCCATTTATTTTTAATAGAAGTTGAGATATTTTTGTGATTGATGGAGTTAGGGATCGACTTGTGTCAGAGGTAAAATTATTTTTAAAATAGCTGCCAGTTGGGTGATTTTCAAAGCTTGAGTGTCCTTGGATGCTGCTAAATTACATTATTTGTGCCTTTCATCAGTGTTTTTCAATAAAACCCACACAGAATCTTGTTTTTAAATAGATATATTATATATATATATATAAAGGTGTTGATCCAAAAATTGAATTAAAAAATTGAATAAATTGCCCAACGTGTGGAAGAATGTCATTTTCTTTGATTTCCTTTTTTGATAAGTGCCTGATTCCACTACGCTGTGACTCATATTATAAATCTTTGGGCAATTGACAGTTTCACTGCAGAACTTCCCTTATGTGGCAGATTAATTTGCCATTTCTTTATGAGACACTGGTCATGTTACTAAAACATTCATATAAAAAGACAATAGCACACATCCAAACATAAGAATGTATCGAACAAATGCCCGCAAATGAATATAATTTTTAAAAAATGTAATTACAAAAATTAATTGTCAGGTCTGTTTTTACCCTCGGTTCTCCTATGAGTGGCTGTAACAACTTTGTTTTATTAAATTTAGGTGGATCAACAAGTCACCTGGCTGCTTCGTTTTTAGAGACAATGTTTAAATCAGTTCGTTAAAGTGGATCTTTGCTAACAATATTATTTTTATCTCTTCAGCAATATGAAGGTTTATCACATCGTCTCAGTCTTTTTGTTGTTATATTTTGTAGGGAAAATGATAATTATATGTATCAGATTGATGTCCAATAGTTCTAGGAGCAGTCATGCATTCGTTTTGTTTGACTTGAAATTAGAAAAACTGAACATCAGAATTTAGATCTAGGTTCATTTGAACGTGACATGGATTATGTTCACAAATTGTGTGCAAAATAGAAGCAGAACTCTCTTGGAATAACTTATGATGTGGTTCTCCTACTTTAACCTCACGGTGGGTGGTTGGCGGGTGCTCTGGTGTGGTTTGCTCCTCTTTTCCTATCAAATATCTTTCATCTTTATCTCCCCTCCCTCTTTTTTTGTCTTTGTTACTCCCTTGTAACCCCTCTAATCTTCAGCACTTATATGACCTTATTGTATTGCAAGTGCCATAAAATTCTTATGAAAAAAAAAATACATGTTACTCTAAATTAGACTACTAGTATGTTAGGTGTGAGCACACCATATGCTGTGTTTACTAATCTCTCGGGCACCAGTTTCGTCAGCATGGCACATGCCATATTTACTGCACGAATAGTTAACAACCTATACATCAGCACAATGACATTTTTAATACGGTTAGGTTGAAATTGATTTTGCAGCTTAGACTCGTGGGTAAGGAAATTCTCTCAGTGTCAATTTGATTTTGATGGATAGCTTTTTAAATGAATTTTGTACAGGAGAAGAAGGCAAACCAGTAGTTGTCAGTCTTGATGAAAAGGACGATGCTGATCGAGAAACAAAGGAGTATGGTTTCAATATGGTGGCTAGTGAAAAAGTCGCCATGAATCGGACAGTACCAGATACGAGGATGCCGGAGTGAGTAATTTTTGTTTGATAAGATATGTAGGAAATTAAAGAAACCACAAGAAGCTGTAAAAATAATTATCATAGTAAACTTTAACAGAAGAAGCAAATGTGACAAAAACAAGTAAAATGTCTTTGAAGTTGGTTCCTTATCATGAAATGTACTATTCTGTTATATAATATGGGAGAAACGATATTTTGAGGTTATGAGGAGAGAAAGTTAGTACTTGGTACTTTAACACTCCTGAGTCCTGATACTTAGAAAAAGACTCACTATCGAATACTATAATGCGGTACCTGCCTATCTCTACTACGGTGTCCAAAAAATAGCTTGCTTTTTCATGTTGTTGTTTTATCTTACTCTGAAATTCCATTTCTTTTTTTTATTACAGATGTAAATATTGGCACTATCCTGAAGATTTACCAACAGCAAGTGTGATCCTGGTGTTCTTCAACGAAGGCTGGTCCACCCTTGTAAGGACTGTGCATAGCGTCATCAACACCAGCCCTCCAAAACTTCTTAAAGAAGTTGTTCTCATTGATGATGGCAGTGATTATGGTAAACTTTTTTCCCCACAAATTATTTTTACCGTGTAAAGAAGTATGTTTTTCATGAAGAGAGAATATATTCTGATATTTGCAGGTAGAATATTTTTTCTTTTTTAGCTTTGGAAAGAAGTTGACTCAATCTGTCATACAGTTTGGTAATGTGAGGCAACGGTAATGCATTTCCGTTGAAAGATAGTAGTCTCTACCTTAGGTCCCGATGCTTGAGAGCAAGGAAAATGATCTCAGGCGAATGGGATCTTAGTCGACCTACCTTTGGAAGAATCTTCAATGACCCATGGTAAGGCCCATAACCGGTAAAATGGTCTCCTTTCACTCTAAAATGAACTGACATGACCCCTGTGTAGGTTTATAACTAATGGCGAGCAAAGAGTGGTCAACCTCGATGACGAATCAGTGGATTGAGGCTTTCCATTTTCACTTATTATCCTTTCGTGAGTCTCAAGATCTACGCTTGTCCTGTTGCCCCTCCCCTTTACCTGTCTATAATTTATTGCTTACCATTTCTCACCAAGTTGCCCTACCTTTGTCGTTACGCATTATTTCGTTGTGACCACACCAGAGCCTACTCTAGAACACATCAATTAAAATTCAGTCTGCCTTGTACTTTTGGGAGGAGAGACAACTGCTGCAATGGTCAGTGAAGAGTTCACAGTTCGATGTGATCCCTCCAGGAGGGAAATTGTAGGCCCTACCCACCCAGCATGTGATGTAAATTTAGGTGGAGAGCTCAGATGTCAGTGCGATGTTTGGAGAAAACATATGCATCTGTGAGTTCACACTTTGGTGTGATCCTGTCTGGGACAAACATTGTTCCTCTTCATTGTGACTTACAAGGCATGTGTGATCCCATTCATGAGAGTCGTTGATCTGTCTTGCTATGGGTAGTTCAGTAATCGCAAATTTTCACTTTCCATTGATTGGCTATGCCCGCCCATGTTTTGTTCCGTAAATCAGGATCTCAAATGCGGGATCTTAACGGAATGTAGCCCTTCAGGGAGAATGAGAGCGGGGTCTTAGGGGTGACTTTTGTGTAGTAAAAATTCTGTTTCCTTAAAACAGCTGGATCTTAAACGAACTGGGTTTGTAAGCAGTGGGATCTTAGGCTGAGACTTCTGCACCACTGAAGTGCCGAAAAATGTTTGATGTATGGTCAAATTCTTTCATTGGTAAAAAAAAGCCTCTTGTCTGGTCTCAGGAAACATGATGTTAATATTTCATATAAAAGCTTTAATGCTAGTGAAAGAAGTTGGATGAGATTGGCGGTGAAGTATTTAGAATGTATATGTGGTGGTACTTTCATATTTTTCTTGTTATACTTTAATGTATATATTTGTAAAATCATTTTCTAGATTTTTTGAAGGACAAGTTAGAGAACTACATCAAGCAGTTCAATGGACTCGTCAAGATTTTCAGGAACTCTGAGCGTCTCGGCTTGATCACAGCTCGTACAAAAGGAGCAGAGCACTCCAGTGGAGATGTCATAGTATTCCTTGATGCTCACTGTGAATGTAATAAAAATTGGCTACCACCTTTGCTTACCCGTATCAGACACGACAGGTATGTCTTTTTTTCTATTGCTTTTCTTGTAGGACACCACAAGACGAGTGGCCTATAGTTATTAGCATAATACTGACTTTGTTGTATCGAGAAGATTATCTGCTGTAAGTTTTTTTTCTCATTTATAGTTTAGAAAAAAATGAAAACAACTTTTTTTGTGGTAACTTCATCAATTTTACTGTTGGGTTGACCAATTAATTGCTTCATTTGATATGATGCTGTTCACAGCCCCTTTCTCTCTTTCTCTCTCTCTCTCTTTCTCTCTCTCTCTCTCTCTCTCTCTCTCTCTCTCTCTCTCTCTCTCTCTCTCCTCTCTCTCTCTCCCTTATTTTATTCTAATTAGCCTTGACACCTCTCTCTCATTTTTTTTTCTCTATCTACCCATCTCTATCTCTCCCTTTTCTGTATACATCTTGATACTAATGTAATGTTTTCCTCTTTCTTATCACCAGAACGATTCTGGCAGTACCTATAGTAGATGGTATCAATTGGGATACAATGGCCTACTATCCTGTGTATGATCATCATCACCATCGGGGAATTTTTGAGTGGGGGTTTCTGTACAAAGAGGGACTCGTTCCTCAGAAAGTTCTTGACAAAAGGGACCATCCAAGTGAACCTTATGCGTAAGTAAAAAGAATATATACTGAATGGATATTTACACTCTTGCCCTAGCATTACAAAATATAACCTTTACTGCTAAATTATGTTTGTGTTTCTGTTAAATTGAAAACGTTAACCGGAAAGGAAATGCACAAATTTAATTTGAAAGAGCATGACTTAAGATTTTTATATTATGCAGATTTACACGTGTATGGTTTTGGAGCTACCATAACTATGTCTTTCTGTCCTCTTACAGATCTGAGGCGGCTGCTACCATTACTTGTTTGTTCAATACACTCTCTGAAACTTCCGATATTTTGATACAAAATCTTGGTTAAACTATACATTTACTGTGAACTATTCCGTTACTTTAAGTTGCAGAAAAAGTTTTCATAGTTTTGCCATGTTAACCAAACACCTTTTAGAGTAACATGCTTCTGGAGGAACATGCTGAGCTGAGAATGCCCACTCTCTAAAGTCTTAATGCTAGCACTGTTGCGGAATATCTCTTCTCTTTATTATAGAGTTCAATGAGAACTATGGATTTACATTTGTTTTGTGTGGTGTAGATTTCTTTTGCAGATCATGTGTGAAGTTGAATGGCAAAATATGCCTACTGCATACATGGAAATAGGACTTCTTATTATAGATGCTCCTCCTTTCTCAAACCATTGGTTGGTTGGTGTTCTTGTGTTGTATTCACCCACTTTTTTACCATTTATGTCGGCTGCACAATCAACAGGTTGTGAATTGATTATCGGTTGAATTTTTCTTTTATTTTTGAAGCTCACCCACTCACGCTGGTGGACTCTTGGCAATGGATCGGAATTACTTCTTTGAGCTAGGAGGTTATGACCCTGGCCTCAAGATCTGGGGAGGAGAAAACTATGAACTTGCTTTCAAGGTGAGAATGAGCATTTTACTAGTTTTCCATGAGATGCTTTTAAATGTTTATTTATTTCTTTGTCCCGAGAAACCTTTCAGTAAGATGAAGTAGAGAAGTAGGTGTGTGTTTTGTTGTGAGGTTGTATCTTTTCTTGTTTACTTGGCTGGCTGGATGTGATATAATCCACAGCCTATGCACACTACCAGGTATTCTGTTGGAGGGACCTTATGCGTGCTATTTGACTTTTTAAAATAGAAATTTGCTATGTTGACAATGAAAGTTTTGTCAATGAATGATGCTTTAATGTGTTGTTTTTTGGGGGTGGGGGTTATTTCTACAGTTATTTTTTCCATTCAGTCACCTAATATTTCTTTGATTTGATTGAGGTTTGGATTTATAAATGAATGATGCTTCAATGTATTCTTCTAAGGGGTTGTTTCTGCAGTTGTTGTTTTTTTTTCATTCAGTTACTTAATATTTCTTTGTTGTTGCTCAGGTTTGGATGTGTGGTGGTAGTTCTGAGTGGGTGCCGTGCTCCCGAGTTGGCCACATCTATAGAGGACCTCGCATTGGTGGGGCACCCAAGAAAAGGATGAAGGAACCCAAAGTACCACATTCCTATGCTGTAAGATGCTTTTCGTGAGCAGTGTGAATGTTAAATGTTTTCAACAAAAACACCAACACCAAAAAATCCACTTATGTTAGATAATTGTCTTCCTATGAGAATTGATTTGTAATGAGTTTTTGCGCACATATTTTTAAAAAAAATTTCGTAAGTAAAGAACAATCCTCAACAGCATTTTTCGACTCATTGATTAAGTACTTCATGCAGTGGGAGGTAGCACAATCGTTTATAGAATCTGAAATTATGGTGTTCTGTCAGTCATGTTTTTTCTGAGATCTGTCAAGGTATGGTGGAAGTCAGAAGGTCATGATGATAATATTTGTCCCTGAAATATCAGTGTGCACTGGCAGTAAGGCAGTAACACAGTTTTAGTTCTACAGAACTGTCCATGTAACCTATGACTTTTGTTGCCATAGTTGTAGTTTTTTTTTTTCCTGAATGATGTATGTGGAGATAAATCAGTGATTATGATTATTTTTTTTTTCTTGGACAATGATAAGGGTTTTAATGTAATTGGATTATTTAGGAGCCAGAAGTAGAGCCATGAAAATTACCAGTTCAATCCATCAATGTAATTCTGAGGTATTTGAACCTTTGACGTCCTGACCATGAGGCTAGTATCTTGACCACTACATCACACTGACCTCCAGTTCTATTTTTTCCTTTTTTACCCTAGAACTATTTACGTGTTGTGGAAGTGTGGATGGAGGATGAGTTCAAGGAATATTTCTATGCCCGAGAACCATGGCTGAGGGGAGCACCATTTGGAGATGTCAGCGAGCAGCTGAGAATCAAAAAGGAGAAAAATTGCAAGAGTTTCCGTTGGTTTATGGAAAATGTTGCCTATGATGTGTATGATAAGTTTCCAGCATTGCCACCAAATGTTGCGTGGGGTGAGGTAAGAATTTAAGAAGGAAAATTTCTCTTTATTTAACTTTGAGTGGAGTGTATATTAGTTTCGTTAAAAAAGAATAAGTACTGTGTTTATAAAGTTATTGATTTGCACACTGCTTTCTTAAATTCTGCTTGATCGTAAGACACAAATATATTGAGGTGACCTAAAACAATTACTTTTTAAGATTGTACAATCCATGCAGTACCAATCAATCACACACTGCTGACATATAAGTACTCATTAGATGTTTAGATGTACAGTGGTCCCTCCAATTTGAGACTTTCTTATTTTTTAAGACTTCCCTTCAGTGATCCAGTCTTGTGCTTCGGGTTTGTTTTCGTCGATAATCTGTAAGTTTGAGACCCCTGATCATCTGTGTTGGAGCAGTGCCTGCTTCTTTGCTTACTGTACAGTTAGGTCAGTTCTCATGAAGATTGTCCTTCAGGGGAATTTTAGTTGCCGCAAGGGGTTCCCCGCCGGGCACCTTATCACGTCGGGGTCACGGGGGTCAGCTCCCTGTCGACGCTCTGTCTGTACCGACTTAATTTTTGGTACATTTCAACGTACAATTTAAAGTGTATCCTTGTATTTATGGTAATTCTCATTTAGTGCACCCAAAGCACGCATTTCTGCTCTTGAGACTAAAAAAAGAACTGACGTTGTAACTTGTCTGGTTATTTCGTTAAGACGCGCTGGAGTCGGCAATGCTAAATTGTAATTTTTTTTTTTACTAACATGAACGAAAAGAAAATCAATATAAAAAAAAGGCCTCGTCAAAATCTGTTGAACTTTTGGAACATGAACGACATAACATTTGTGCAGATACTCAGAAAAGATGGCATCTGCGCATATAATAGAAAGCTGTAATTTTGCAACTTTATCCATCGGGCACACAATTCGCTATGAAGTAATTCCTCCAAATACAACTTTATGTGTCTAATATAATCGTGAATATTCGCATATTTTCTCGAAAGTTTATAAAAGGTACCGTGAAGTTTCTCTATGAAAAGTACAAATCGATTTTAGTGCTAGAATACATCTTCAATGTAGATCTAATACACGAACAGTATCTGTTACACTCCAGAAATTCCTTACTTTTCTTAAAACGCTAAGTCTAGGTTTTGTAAGTTGACTGAATAATAGGGATGACTTCTCGTAATTGGATTATAAGAATAATTTCTAGCTTTCCAGGGACACTGAATCAGCACCAGACTTTTCCAGCTTTATTTTTCGTTTCTATGACCATTTGCAATAACTGACAATGTGACTGATTTCTTTACCTTCATAATTGTGTCTGCGCATATTTCCGACACAAAAACTAAAAATGAATGATGTGTTAGCTGTCATTATTTTTATTCCATACAAGAAGTTTATCTCTACCCATGTATTTACACGGTTTTGTGCTTTTTTTAATCGCTTAGATTCTATATTATATCTTTTTAGTTGAATGCAGGCTGCCACAGACACAGCATGATTCATGAACAAACGCAGAGTAACTTTCTCTTGTTTAATAATAAAATAAGAGCTAACGCTGATCGTCTTTAGTTTAAAAATGCAGATGTGTGTCTTTCTTCTCTTACAACTTGACTATTACTACTCGCGCAGATTTAAGATTTCTCATTGTAAAAGACATGATATTCATAGTCAGTTTAACGCAGATTTTGGAGAGATCTGTCGTGCCTTTTTAAAATTAACAATCATTTATTCATAAGTTTGTAACTAAAAAGGACAAATTGGGTACTCTACAAACACTTGTCTAGAACAAAAACTGAGGCACAGAAATTAACCATTCTAACGCAGAATTAATCTCAAGACATTGAGCTTTTAATACATCCTTGTAATGGTTTGCTATGTGGGATGAGGAAGAAGTTATATCGTTTTAAACGTAGTCAAAAATGCGAACTTCCTGACCGACACCGGCAAAGTCGCTTCTGGGCTCATTAACCCCATGACCCCGAGCTGGGGAGCTCCGGTGGGCTGCTGAGTCACACTAACTAAAAGTAACAGAATCAGGCGAAAGTGACGCCGTGTTAAAAAAAGAAGTCGTAATTTGGAGGGACTACAGTGCATAATTTTGTTAACTTTTTTTTTTTAATGCATTTTTTCTGTTCTTTTCCTGTGCAATATTTGTCTTCATTGAGCCATGCTTTTTAGATTCGCCACAAAGGCAGTGACCGTAAGTGCTGGGACACAATTGGTCAGTCGGTGAATGGAGGACCCATTGGGGTGTTCTTTTGTCATGGGCAAGGTGGTAATCAGGTAAGGCAAAAAGTCGGTAATTCTTTGTTGGAGCATTACCGAATAGTCCTTTAAGGAGGACACAAACTCCGAGGGTTGAAGTAACAAAAGTGACTTTCTGTTCTAGGAAGCTTTTATTTTGTTACTTCCAACTGATAATGCTTTCTTTCTGGACTTATTTGGCAATGCTCCTTTCCTGTTGTTATGCATTGAATGTGACCTACTGAGTCCTACCTGCCAGCAGGTAAAACTTGTATTTTTGGGGTATGGTACCTTTGGAAATGAGACTAGAAGCTGGTATCGATTCTGCAAAAATTGGTCTTTACTCCCATGTCAAATCCTATCGGGAGTGCTTTATTTGTAGTATGCTCAGTTTTTTTTTGTGTGTGAACATTATGCAGCATTTGATATCTGAGCTGCTTCTTGACCTTCTGGGTTTCATTGTCAACAAAATAATTTTAATCTTTATTTTGATCAGTAGATGATGTGGATATTAAGAGGCAAAAAATCAGTCATGTGATCCATGATTTATTTCCCAATTTGCAGACTCGATTACCCTTTTCATGTCTTAGCTGGTAGTGGGTAAAGTATAAGTCGCATTCATTGTGTTCCTCTATGTGGCCACATGTTTCTGCACTGTAACCAGCTTTGGAGGCCCTTTAGATATACCTTTTTTTTTTCAAGTTTTCATGAAAGAAAATGAAAAGAAAAGACTTCTTTATTTATCTTTCTGAAAATGAAGTTTCTTTTCTTACATTTGAACAGTTTTGTTGAAAGGAAGAGAAAAATCCACCAAGCCTGATGACATGAGATCATACATTTTGAAGCTATGCTGTGAAAAAATATTTTGATTTCTCTTCAGATTATGAAATTTCAGATCTTCTCCTGTGGGCTGACTTAGTTCTACTTGGTTCAATTGGTCTTTTCCAGAGCTGGTTATGTGTTCAGTGACACTGGGTTTTTTTTTTCTGTGTACAGTTTAATTGTGCAGATGAATTAACTTTTATGATCCACTGTTGCACACTCAGGTTAAGTCCCGATACCGATTGCATAGGGGTAAGTGCTGGATGGGTTCCCTCAAAGTGGGCACTCCGGTTAGGATTGCCAGATGTGCGCACCATCTCTTTCAGGTATATTTACGATTTATTCTCTCTTTGCTTCTGTCATGGACTTCTTGGTTCTCTGCAATGCACAGCTCATGGGAAGCTGGTTCTCATCTACTCCCCTCCACCTTTTTTTTTGTAGGATATTGTCCCATATAAAACCCCTTTCCTGTATTTCCTTTAAAGTACCCTTGAGCTCAAACATCCATTTGAGTTCTTTGTTCATGTTTGAAATGAAATGTAAAGGTGAGTTGTACATATATTATTGCCTTAGCTGAGAATTTTACAGTGGAAACCATATATAACAGGCCCGGTAATAACAGGGATCCGGTAATAACAGGGATTTTTTAAACCCGATTTTTACTACTCTTTGTCTCTATTAAAAGTTATCGGCAATAACAGGGCCCCATCGGAGCCCAACCGGTTATAGCAGGGACAAAGGCTCGCTAACAATGTGTAAAAAGTAAGAGAGAGAGAGAGAGAGAGAGAGAGGGTAAAGCAGTGATGGAGCAAGCCCATGCAAGCCATGCCACTGCAAGCCATGCCACTGCAAGCACATGCAACGTCTGAAGCGAGAGAGGGCTGCAGTGTTCTGCAGACCTCGATCTAGCCCGAAACCTAGCAACACGCACACGTAATGTGTCTACTGTCACCTACGAAGTCAAGCGCAAGAGAAAATGTCTTTCAACTGACAAAAAAAACCCGAAATAATCCAGGCTGTTGACAAAAAGCAAGCTCCACTGGCAGAGATTTGTCGTCAGTTCGACATTCTACAAAGGTCGATTCACACCCATATCAAGGATAGAGAGAAGATAGTGGCAGCATACCCTAATGGAAAGTTTGCTCTGGATCGAAAGAAGATGAGACTACCCGATGCAGATGCTGTGGACCAAGCTCTTCTGATGTGGTTTAAGGAGGCAAGGATATAGTTGGTGCCAAAACCCCTGTTGTTGGTACTCGTGGCAAAGGAAACTACCCATGAATAACTACAGCTGGATTAGTCCACAAATGCTTATTTTCCTTGCATTCCTGATTTAATAGGGATCGGATATAACAGGACATTTTCTCTATTTCCACCTTCCCTGTTATATCAGGTTTCCACTGTATTTTTTCATCTTTGAAGTATGGCTGTATCCTATGTTTCCTATTTACCTTCTGAGTTGATGTGCATCTTGACGCACAATATGACAAAAAGGATTGACAATTTGTCCCAGAAGTGACATTTTACCTTTTGCAAGACAATAAAAAATTGGGTTTAGGATTTTTCAGTTTTCTTTAATTTTCTAAAATACTTATTTCAACATTTGTTTAATTTCTTCCCTTCATTCTCAAACCCATTCAGTTTCTGTACCAGTCCATTAATTTTGATTTGTGTAAACTGAAACTAGTTTCTCCTCTTTGGTTAGATATTATCCAAAATTTTCTCTTCTATTTCTATCAAACTGACCAGAATTTACATCTCCTTCCAAATTCACACTTGGGTTTTTCTTTGTTTATATTACCTCCCCCCCTGCCCCCGAGATATCCGATTCAATTTGAGCCTATGTGTGTTGATAAGATACTACATAATTATATATTTGTTATTCTTGAAATTGAAATGAATGCCTATCCTGCTCTTTGGTATTTCCTGAGCTTTGTGTCCGAGCGGACACGTTGTTTATGACTCTTGCTTCATCTGCCTGAAGCTATTGCTTGTTTCAATGACAGAAACAATGGGAGTGCCTCGAGGTCTTAAGAATACTGCTTATTTCTGCTCTGACTATGCCTTGTTCAATGCTGCTCTAGTTTCTGGGTCTGGCAGAGTTTTGCCATTAGTTCTGGAATGATGGTTGTATGTGAAGATATAGTATGGAAAAGGTGTGACATGCTGTTGCAAGCTGGTATAGCATGTGTTCTGAGTCTCCAATACTGTTCATACAAAGTTCCAGTTCTCTGTGGTTTTACGTGTATTCTTATTCAAGCTGATTTTTCCTCTTTATTATTGGTTTTATGACATACTCTTTCTTGTTCTTCTATGTTGTTCTCTTTGTCATCTTGTTTGTAATTTTCTCTCCCTTCACTCCACACTGTAACCTTCTGTATCAATGTGTATGTTGGCAAGTGCCCCACATCCCCACCCCATTTACATATAGGTTCCAAAGTCATTATACTTTTTTACTTTATATACTTATTTTACTGCATGACTTATGGCTAGTGGAGGGTACACAAAATCAGTATTATATTCTACAGCATGAAGCATTAGGGAAATAGCCAGCCTAGCTGTTATTTTCACAGCCACTAATCCAAGTTGCTACTAATTTGTCGCTTTTGCCAGCTGGGGAGAGGGAGGAGAGGACGGGGGGGGGGGGGGGGGGGGGGGGGGGAGTAGCCGTGCATGTACAAATATTTACTTTAATCTTTCATTGATTTTCTCTGGTCTGTTAATTCATACAGCTCCTTTATTTTAAGTATAGCTTATCTATGGTAAACGTCAGTGTCAGAACGTAAGCTTGAGTTTTTTGGGTTTGGAATGATAATTTCCTTTTCACATTAACTCTGTACTAGCATGCCAAGTTATTTCATGTTAAGGCATGATAACACAAAGCTTTGCAATGAGGAGAAACAAAAATATTTTGTGGAAATATAGCATGTTAGTGGGCATTGAGCTGTTATCTTTTAGCTATTAGATAGGTACAGGGTACACTTGATATTCTCCTCATCAAGTGCTTTCTTTTTTTTATGATCTCTCTCTGTAGACTTAAGACTTGTTTCCTTGGCATGTCTTACCAATTTTTTATATTTAAAAAAAATATTTAAAAAATTATTTTTTTTGGGGGGGGGGTTAATGATTATGGCCAAATTAGCCAATAAACTAGCTTCTCTTTTTTGTAGTGGACATACTTGTGTCGGCTCAGTGTTTTTAGCAGGACATGGTTATTCTTGCAGTTGTTTTGCCGTTATCTTATTTATTTTCTCATTCATTTACTCATTTATCATCTGATGTCTGACTATGCTCATAGTGCTAGAGCTGTTTCTCTCTATTTTTTCCTTTACAACTGTTGTATGTGTTGAGAGTAATGCTCAGTTCTTTGTCTTTGTACCTTGTTCTTTCTTTCTCAGGTTGTCTCCTGGATTGCTTTTGGTCTTTGCTCCTAAAGCGGGTCATTGGAAGGCACCACTGTTAGGTCCCTCTTCTTTTCTTTTCCTCTGTTATTTCTGTCTGTACATCCTGCTTTTTCCATGCTTTAAATGACCATTATTGCATCGATGGGCGGCTTCTCTGTGCTCCAACTCAAGTTGCCTGTTGTCCCTCCTTTGCAGGTGCTCTCTTCAGGATTTTTTGTGGTATTCTTTGCCTTTTTGGATTCCAAAGTGATGCTCAGTATTCAAACTTGATTGCCTTTGTCTTTCAATCATCAACTATGACAATTGAAATCCTGATCATCCAACTAAATTCACTTTTGTCTTTCGAAAAAAGTTTAGATAAAAGTCACAAACACAAAGAAATGTGTGGCTTATCCATATGTCTCCTAATTAGTTACTTTCTGTATTTTCCAATGCATTTTGTGTCTTGTGGCTGATCTCGAGTTTCTGCTGTTTTTAACAATAAGGTAACAGTTTTCATAGTATTTTATTTTTCTTTGGTAAGGAAATACTTCTTCAGTTTTCTCAAGGTCGACGATTGTCATGATTTCAACCTAAACAGTCTAGTTGTGAAGTATGTTAAATATATGACCTCATTGTGTTGCTAGTGCCTTAAAACTTCCTTAAACAGAAGTATGTCAGAGTTGTGTGAAACCAGTTTGTGGATGTGCCTGTAGAGCCTCTAATAAGGAGCAGGATGTCTGTTTTGTTGACAAAGATAAGAGACTATCGTTATACAGTATATGCAGGTTTTACAATCTTACAGAAGACATTATAGAGGTTATAAATAGTGCTATTTATAACCTCTTTGGGAAATGTTTTGGTAAGTGTTTAAGGTCATATGAGCGCGCGGGACACATTTACAGTTTGGTGAGAATTTTTAATTTTGCCTTGGTGGCGGCTGAAGCCTACTTTTATCCATTTTAGGACCACCAAGGGATCTTTAACATGTTCAGATTGCTCATGGGACCTCTGAGATTTTTCACCATTAACCAAAAAGGCTAGGTGTAAGATCTTTCCTTTCACAAGATCATGGGTGTGGCTGAAAGACAGCAGTAAGAAGGAGCCTAGGAGTAGCAGTAGAACAGCTGCAGAAAGAGACAAGAGCCAAGTCTTTCTCAAAACCTGAATGTATTTACCAATAAAATAACATCTGCTGTAAAGATAATAAAGAAGTTATCAAAATTGTATTCTTTAAAATACTGACTTGGGATATTTGTAAAGAGTTTGTTTTCTCGGTAACAATAGTCAGATTGTTTGGCCCTCCTGTAAAATTGTAAAAACTGCATATTCTGTATTTTTTAAAATGACGGCAGAATTGATGTATGAGGATACATATAATTAGTTGTTTTTTTCATGCATGTCTTGTATAGATATTTGGTATGCATTATTTGTTGATTATTGTATATTAATACTGTAAGGCATCAGGGTCAAATCCAAAAAAAAAAAAAGCTTGTACAACGAGTAGATGTTGCAATTATGCTCTATACTGAAGCATCCCTAATATCTCTTTTATTTTTTTTAGAAATCGGATTTGGCCTCTTTGCCCCCCTAGATTGGATCTTCTTCCAAAATGTCTGATATTTCTGTGCTTGTATACTTACTTTGGACATACTTGTTCTTTCTCCTACGATAGCAAGTTATTCTGTTTTTTATATTAAAACGCAACTCTTTCACCCTGATTAGTCTAACAAGTTCCCTCTCCTTTCACCTCTTCCCCCCCCTCCCCCAATGCTCCCATGCTCCCCCCCCCCCCCCACCCCCCATCCCCCTTCCCGGCCCACCTCCCTACGTTCACAGTTGTTCCGCATCAACACCAAGGGCCAGCTGGGTCTCGGAGAGCGTTGCATCATGGAGCAGAACCGGGACACACTCCACATTCACGTGTGTGATACCCAGCCCGAGGGGCCGTGGGAGTTTGACAAAGTAAGTGCACAAATGGATATGTGAGGCGAGCTGACAAAATGAGTTTCTTCTCGCAATCCACAAATGGAGACATTGGCCAAAAATCGAAGTTCGGGTCAAATTTGTAGATTTTCTATTGATGCCATATTCTTTAAGTTATAACCTGTCTTATATTATTTCATACTTATAAATTGTAAAAACTTCACCTCTAAGCCTGATGTATCTATTGCTTTAAGGCTTAAATCCGAGAAGTAACTCATTTTGTCAGCGTGCTTCACATATTGCTTAGCTCCTGTTAATTTTCTCTTTGCTAAAATTTGAGTTTTCATCTATAGGAGCCACTGGTGAATTATTCAACATGTGGAATTTAAATATGCCTTATTTACCTGAAAAAAGAGGATGCGGTGGCAGAGCGGTTAGTGCGCTCGTCTCTGAAGCAGAAAGTCGGGGTTTGAGCCTCGGTTTGGACACAGATTTTTTTCGCCTCCTCCTACCCATCCAGCAGTAATGGGTACCTGACTTCGAGTTGGGGAAGTAAAGGCGGCGTGGAAAGGAATTGGCCACCCTACCACAATATGCCAAAGACCCAGGAAGTTGTCTCACGAACAAGGCAATCTCTAATGACCGGTTCGGATGCGGGAACAACTTCACTTTACTTTACCTGCAAAAAACTCCCTGCTCAGTACCCAACTGTCAAAATGGCGCAACTTGTGTCTGGTCGGGTGTTAACTTTGAAAAGAAGCAAAAGTTGATATTGATCTGTTTTAGGGCGTTTCATGTGAACAGATACTTGTTCTCTAATTTGTCTATATTTACATATTCTTCAGCTTTTATAAATGTAGGCAGTCTCGCTAGTCATATATGCTTTAAGTTAGTTTTTTTTTTTTCTTTTGCTAGAATAGTCTACACTCTTGCAGAGGTGTCTGTTATGACTAACTGCTTATTACTAGTGACATTATGTGGCTTCTTTTTTTACACAATTGATTTTTCTAGGCCAATGAGGTAAAATTTCATGTTTTGTTTCCTTTCTATATTTTTATGTGCAATCTTTTTCTTCTTATCATAGGCAAGATTCACTTTTTAATGGTAATGAGATTATGTTAGCAAACTTCCTAGTTTTTTTTTAGGTTTTTATCTTCTCACAAATGAACACCAGATCTAAGGAATATGTGTATTATTTTGAATATAAAAAAGTGCTTTTTTATCAGAAATCCTCCTAAGGAGCTGTCTTTAGTCTAAAGCTCCTCTTCTTATTGTCCATCTCTCTATTCAGGCTTTTGGTCAGATCAAGCACACACACCTGAACAAGTGCATTGGGACATCCAAAGATGACAAGCTCCACCTACAGCCGTGTGACACGGACAACGAGTCGCAGCAGTGGGAGATCAATGAGATCTACCCTTGGAAAAGATAAAGAGGAGGAGCTTTATCATGGGAGATATTGAGATGAGAAATACTGTGTTTACGGGATGCGTTTTGGGGGGGTATTTTTATTTTGGGATGGAGTGGGGGGGGGGGGGGGGGGGTTGATGATACTGAGACAGGAAAGAATGTGGTGAGCATGAGATTTTTAATTGCACTGAGTACCGTAGTTGGGAAGGATTTTGGATACATGCGAGGTTTATGGAAAGAGTATTGTGTGTAGGAATGTGGTCTTGGGGAGGGTTGCAGTAATATGTTAGCTGGCCTCTAACACAGCTGGGAATCTGTCACACATGTGATTCTGTTGTTGGAGTGAAGGGTGTGGTTTTCAAGTGAAATTTTGCTGGTGTGAACAGGTCTCCTGTGTGTGAGTATTAAGGTTATGTGTGTCAGTGAATGTTTATGCATGTATACATGTTCGTGGTATTCTTTGATGGTGGTCAGTTCGATGGGACTGGAAAAATTTATTGGTGGAGCGAAACAATGGTGGGGGAAGAATCCTCTATCGACAGTCCCAGTCCTTTTGAGATTGAAGGATACCCCCTTCCCCCCGATTACTTGCCAATAAGTGTGTTATTTCTTGAGGAATTATGCTCTTTCTGCCAGAAAAATGGCTACTTGTTTGTCTAAAAATGTGTGATGATTGTTGGATTCCGTCTTTTATTTGCCGTTTTTAAAGCTGTGATTTTTTAAACATACATTATTATTGTTTTTAGTGTAGGTTTTTTTGTAGTTTCTATAGCACTTACCGCATGTGAGAGCACTTTTATTATTCTTCTGTTAATTCAATTGCAAATTATAATATGCTTGCTTGTAGTGCAAAATGTACCATGAATGTAGTCTGAGATAGCAAGAAAAAGTATTATTTCTTGTACGTTATTGTCAATAACACAGGGTTTACATTTTTATGAAATCACATGACCTCACTCGAGACAGGGGTTGCAGTCACCAAAGAAATTGATTTAAATGCTAGAGATAAACTCAGTCCACCAAGCAATGGGTTTACTAGTCAGTGTCTTCTCCTAAATATAAACATTATTTGAGTAGGAGAAGTGTCTTCCTGTTCATAACAGCTCTTGGGTTCTAGTCATGATGTTATGTAAAAGGGAAAGGTGGGAGTGTTCAAAGCTTACACGAATTGTGACTTTGGACCTTTAACACTTACAGTACCGAAGGCTCATATAGTGAAAAATCCTCAGGTACCGCACCAGATTAGAACGCTGAAGCCACGGTAGAATGGTTTTTGATTTTAAAAAACCTTGGTAACCTAAGAAACACACTAAAAATTCATAGAGGTTCATCAACCATTAAGCTATCGTTATAGAGTGACTTCCTTTGGTATTAACCCCAGTTCAGTGTGTCCATTCGTCATTTAATTATGTTTAGTGTGCCTGGTTGCGTGGTAGTGAGCGCATACTACATTATGGCATTTAGTCGCCAACGGTACTGTAAGTATTAAATGTACCTTCATGTCTGCCCTTCCATGTGATTGTCTGAGGTTCATACATTTCTTTTGTCCAGTGGATTTTATTTTTTCTGATTTGAGAAGAAATGCACAATAGGCTCATTATATACCGTAAGTTTCTGTTTTTTTCTTTGTTTTGCTGTCCTGATTTTCTTTAAAATTTCGAATTATGATATTACAGTTTAATTCATATCAAATGGGTCTTCTCTGTCTTTCTACTTCAGGCTTTTAGAGCTCTAGTCAAAAATAGACTCAATTTCTTTTGTTTGAGCTCTAGTTTGAGCTCTATTTCTGAGTACAACATCAAATTTCAGTTAAAATGCTATCGACTTTGGTTTCCACACACTCTCGTACAAAGAAAGTTATCTCATGAGAGAAGGGGGAAATTGGCTTTCATTCATTGTGTAAGAAAGAAAAACTGTTCAGAATCAGTATTTTCTTATTATGTTTTTTTGTTGTTGTTTTTTTGAGGGGTGGTGGGGGGGCAACAGTTGAAAGAGTTGAGAACACCTTAGGGTTTAAACAAAGAAATGCCTGGTGTTCATAGGAGAACTTTTTGTGTTATTTTACTTGCTTTTCTGGTTATTGAGCAATACATGACAAAACCCATTTCTGAGGTGTGGGTGGATAGACTCTATAATAAACAAAAAAGAGCATTTATATAGAAGTCTGTTATTGCTTGTAATCTATATCAGAGGGGAAATGACAGTTTTTAGTCCCTTTTGTTTTGGAACAAGTAAATATTGAGAATATTGTATACAAAAACGAAGGCCTTGTCTCTGAAGAAGTTGCAGAGGATTATAATAATAAAAGGGTTGTTTATAGTTTGTTCTCTTGTGTACCTATTCTCATAGTCCCCGTGCTTACTTTTATGAGACATTTATCTCGCCTTTTGTCAAGATTGTTTATATTTCTTTTCCAGTAATGTAAACAGAGGTACGGTAGGTCATTTTTAAAAATGTAATAGGTGCAACCATTTGGTAAAGAAAACAGGTTGAATCATTCTTATCTACTAATGTGATGGGATGCACACAGCTGTTTTAGAAGGGTTTTTCTATGAGTAGATTTGTTGTTTGTTTTACCTTATGATTTTGTCAACATTTTGTTCTTTATGCTTTTACCAACGTTTAATTTGTTATCTTTGTTTGATATTAGAGTTAGTATCAAAGGTTGCTACTATGCGTTGTCCAGCTACTTAACTTCACATTCCATTCCATCCTGGAAGGTCATATATCACATCAATTTTGTTTTGCCTCCTTTCTATGACTAATGCATTCTTCTTTCTTGCTGTTTTTGCTCCAAATGAATGGCATATCGACCTGAACATGATACTGACAAGATGTTTATGAATTCCGCATCACTTCAGGTGGTGTTGTATGAGTGGGAGCTCATTTTTATACATTCTTCCCTCCTCTTCTTTTCCCTCCTGGCTAGGAAGATTACTTCTTTCTTTTCATGGTATGAGATTTGTCTTTGTAATGTCTTCTGAAAGTTTCAGTTGAACTAACAAATTTGTTTTGAAACTCATAGTTTTTTTTATGATTCTGGGAAACAGTTATTTTTAGGGGGGGAGGGGGGTGTCTAGATCTCTTAATGACAGAGTTATTAGCACAGAAGAATGTGGGAACATCATCTTTGTTCTGTAGCAATATACTATCAGTTTTAGAATTTTGTCAAAAATTGGATGAAGCTTTTTTTTTTGTTTACTATGCTTTCATTTAACTTACTACTTTGCAATCACTTTTCGCAATAATGCGCCTGTGAAAAATAGCCATTCCGGTCACCTGGGGCAGTTCCCGTTGTAGTCGCTCTCCAGGCTCAGTGACCAGATGGGGTATTTTGTACTGCTGGCTGCGTGACTGCGAAGTGTTAAGTGATGTTCTGAATTGAGGCAGGTGAAATAGTTTTATGAAACAAAAGAGACCATGTTAATTGAAGGGTAGTTTTTGTATATACATGTGTATGTCTCCATACATTATATGTGTCATAGCGTGGTGGAGTCAGGGGCTCGTCAATTCTTGGGCATAAGGAATTATTGGTATCATCTTAAAGCCTGTTCGCTTGCCTTGTGTTTGATGAAAAAAAATATCGATCTATCTTGAATAGAGATTGAAATATTTGCAACTGAAGCAGATTGAGGTCGCTTGCTGTTGGAGGTAAAATTAGTAAGAAAATGGCTGCTTAAGTTTGGTAACTTCCAAGTAAATTTCCCTGGAAACTAAATTTTCTTCTTTTGTGTGTGTATCTCTGATCAATGTTTTTCAGTAAAATCCACACAGTGATGTGTATTTAAACAGACATGAACGATATTGAGCCCAAAAAAGAAAATCTGTTAATGATTGCTCAATGGGCAGAAAAATGTCTGTTTCTTCGATTTCATTATTTTGATGAGTGACTGATTTCACCACGGTAGCCCCGCACATATGTCTTTTTTTTTTTTTACATTTTTTTTTTTTGTGCTGGAAACTGAAATTTCCTGCCCTGAAAGTGGTGGTGATGGATTTTAAACCTGACATGTTTTACTGTTGTCTTTATTTTAGATTGTTTGTAGTCTTGTTTCCTTTTTTGATTAACATGGCTATTGTCTCGTTTGTACACTGCACGACGCAGTGGAATGAGGCACTCGTCAATTTTGGGGCATATGGAGTTGTTGGTATCATCTTATAGGTTGTTGATTTCCCTTGCTTTTGATTTTAGAAAAAGATCTATTTGTCTTGAATAGTGGTCAAGAAATTTGCGATTGAAGGAAAGGTTTTCAGTAAAAATTTATATGGAAATGTGTCTTCAAATGAACGTAAAAGGTGTTTAGCCAAAAAACCAAAATTTAGATAAAAATTGCCAAACTGTTTGGGAAAATGCCTTTTGCTTCGATTTCCTTATTTTGACGAACGCTTGATTTCACCACGATACCTCACATATGATGTTTATTTATATTGGAAATAGCCCCTGACAGTGTCACCCTGACAAAGGGGCTTTTCTGGTAGTTTTTCTCTGTGTCGAGCACAAAGCGTCACATTTGTTTGTAGTGTAGATCCAGTAAGTACTGGTACCTTGAAACAGAGGAGATGAAAAAATTGGAAGATACAAAGATGAGAATTAGCTGTGAGTTTGTTTCAGCTTGTCAATGTAGTACCTGTTTACACATGTTGTGTGTATTTGTTGGTCAGTTTGGGTTCTGTGGCCTCAGTTTGCTGTGTACTTACTACTTGCTCAATCTGTTACTTAGTTGATACAAAAGTACTTATGCTCAGTTAAAAGGAAAGCAGCTGATCGGGGTATTTTGATGAAATTGAAAATCTGTTGGTTTGAGCATTAAAGAAAGATAAAGTTCAGTATCTGTCTGCTATAAGTAATTATTCATGTAGTTTGTATTCTGTGGTGTGCACATTAATGAATATTATACACTACAAACTGAAAAAAAAAAATTGGACTATACTTGAAGTGCAAATGTGTTAAAGAGAGAAATGTGAGACAGAGGACCAATGACATCTATAGTTTGACAAGTTGTTTTATATGTATCAAACTACCATATCTGTACCTTGCTTTTTTAATGGGATTTCTTGCTTTCTTTTTTTTTGGCAGTTGTTAGTGTTGCTTCTTGCATGGTTTCTTCAAAA